TTAACGTTGGGTTTTGGTCACAATAAGATCACAAGCAACGAACCTTGAAACACAGAAACTCAAAAAACGGATCGAAATCCACCAATCACAAATCATAAACAATGACCTTTTGAACCCGTTGAAGAAAACTTTCGTTTCCTAAGAGGTCCGCTAAGATAATTGACGTCTGACATTTTTTTTGACGAGAGGATCGAAATGCACCAATCATAGAAAGACAGTTTTAGGGTGTGTTCCTTTCGGCGAATCCAAAAACGGATTTTTGATCCTAGATTTGCCAGATTTCGCGGTCGAAAGGAACGCGAAATCCGAAATTGGATTTGTAACCTTGGTAACCTTTCGCCAAAGCGTGCAGTATGCACGACATCCTCCCAAAAAATGACGTGTTTTCTACTGCTTGACAAATTATGCGATTATATCGTGCAGAATTTAGTGGTCGGCAGTTTGAATAGCGACGATGGAACATATAAAACAGACAAAGAAAGAAGCGCATTAAAATTGAAAATTATCTAAAGCATGTCGGCCAGTTTGATCCAGTTCCATAGCTCGGATTTTTTTATGTAGCACGATCGAGTGCCTGTCGCGTCTACAAGCGAGTTTGTAATTAGATAGCAGTTCATTTGTTACTTTTACTTATTTCTGATTTCAAGCCATCTTTAGAGACAAGTGGTTAGTATATGGATATTTTAATGTACCTGGAACAATCTTCTAGTGTTTTCAGATGTTTTGCGGCAAATGACAGCAACGAGGAAACTCTACGACCTCTATGGGAATACTTCAACTGGAAATACCGCTGGATCATTTGACTAATTTCGGATCCACTGTGAATGGAACAGCGTAGATGACTAATCCGTTAATCTGGATTTGGATTCTTCGGATTTCAAATCCAATGAATCCTTTTTCAAAAAGGATTCACCAGATCAAAAATCCGGATTTGGATTTGTCGAAAGGAACGCGAAATCCGTTCTTAGATCTAAAATCCGTTTTTGGATTCACCGAAAGGAACGCACCCTTTTGCTTGTTTCCTAAGAGGTCACCTGAATTTGCTGTTTTCTTTATTTTATGTCCATTTTCCCCTTTTCCTTATTTTGTGATTGGTCCATTTTGTTAGGTCGAGTGGATAATCCAATGAGGGACGATTTGGATATCGTTTGATCCGAAATTTTTCGAAGCAGCAGAGAGAAGCAGTTTTTATAACATTTGGCCGCGGCCTTTCGAGGAACGTGTGAATATATTGTTCAATCATGTTTTCCCGGGTTAAACTTACACATGTACACACTGTTCGGGGTAGGCCCACACTAAAAAATAACACTGAGTGTTTTCGGAATGGGCTGGTCCGCGAACTCCAAGAAAAACAAAGGAAATTATCAAGACATTCAATGACATCAAAGACTCATGGACCCCATAGACGTAATAACAAATCGGAATATCAGGAGAGTACGTGTAAAATGGTTAAGAATTTGAACAGAGGAATGTTGAACAAGTTTGAGAGTGGCAAGATTTGTGTAGCTGGTTATCAGTGTGACAATAGTGATTTTGATTTTTGCATTGCGGAACACAGCGAGTTGCCTGTGATAAAAATCTGCGTAGTTACTAAAACAAGGAATGACCTACAATGATCTACAATGACCTACAATGACCTACAATGATCTACAATGACCTACAATGATCTACAATGAGCTACAATGATCTACAATGAGCTACAATGATCTACAATGAGCTACTATGAGCTGCTAGGAGCTAAAATGAGTTAAAATAAGCCCTACAATGAGGTACAAAATGACAGACAATGATGTTAAGCTACGTTTGTCGTGTGTCACGCTTGGACGTGACACTAGGCTCATGGTATTAAATTGCCAAGCACATTTTGAAAAGGCAAAACAAAAATAAAGCCTGATCTCAGGTAACTTGAGAAACTTGAAAATAAATTATTGCAATCGCGTTTTTACCGGTAACACTATTATACCCTGTATTGATGGAAGTCATCCTGCGCCTGCGTGAATCCTGTATTGTCACAGTACTGTGACTTTTGTCCAAACCATCCCTTGCAACCTTTCCCGTTAGTTGTGTTTTGTGTTGTCTTTTTATTCAAACAAATTAAACAGTACTGTGACAATACACTGGATTCACGCAGGCGCAGGATGACTTCCATCGATACGGGGTATAATAGTGTTACCGGTAAAAACGCGATTGCAATAATTTATGTTCAAGTTTCTCAAGTTACCTGAGATCAGGCTTTATTTTTGTTTTGCCTTTTCAAAATGTGCTTGGCAATTTAATACCATGAGCTTAGTGTCACGTCCAAGCGTGACACACGACAAACATCATTGTCTGTCATTTTGTAGCTCATTGTAGGGCTTATTTTAACTCATTTTATACTTATTTTAGCTCCTAGCAGCTCATAGTAGCTCATTGTAGATCATTGTAGGTCATTGTAGATCATTGTAGGTCATTGTAGGTCATTGTAGATCATTGTAGGTCATTCCTTGTTTTAGTAACTACGTAAAAATCTGTTCCAATGAAGGAAGAGACGTTTGTCAAGAGGGACTGAGGCTTCTTTTGGAACTACTGTGATGACTGCAACAATTTTTTTTATTATTTCAATTTTGTTTAGCAGGGTGACGGTTAATGTGCTTGTTTTTGTATTGCGTGTTGTGTTTTTTCATCTAATTGTGTATATTGTGACATGGTACATGTACAATGCTGTGCGTCGGGATTTTGCACTATCAGCAAGTTTTGTGTTAGAGTCTTTTGATGGCAGCGAGGTGACGACAAGAGAAGGTAATGAGCTAGTTGCACAGAAGGAAAATTGTGTTGTGGAGGAAATAAAAGAAGTTGAATTGAGATCTCGTCGTGGGAAATTTATTGATAACAGAACTTACAATTTCATTGGTTTAAATCAGGTTAGTCAAATTATATTTTCAGCATGACAAATTCCCATAAAATCGAAACTCGCGTTGTTTTCAAAATTTGCGTAAATCGGGCGCTGCAAAGAAATATTTAGGTTACAAGCGCTTCGAAATACTGTACCTTCAGAACGGCATATAGCTCTTACTAAGTGTTGTGCTATATCTTACAAAACTATCGATCGATTCTAGCTCAAAAACTCTCAAAGCAGCGGTTTAAATGTTAAAGCCTGTCGCTGGTTGAAATCGTCTCTTGTTTGTTTTCAAACTGGATTTAGGATGGATCGAATCGACTTTGGATCGATTATTATTTTATCAGCTTGTGGTATGAACGAAGCGTTTTTCTTCTCGATAAAGTTCACTCAACAAATTTAGAAAGATTTACTTGACATATGTGGAACGAACTGGCTATTTTATGGAACGATCTGGATTGGAACGATGTCAACGATCTGACCCTGGAACTAAATGACCGGTTACCGTCACGCGCCTGGCAGACTACTGATGAACAAATAAAAATCTTTGTTACAGAAAACACGGAAAGTGACACTTTTTGTATGGAAGAGTATTCGGAAAAATACACCATTGTCGTCTGAAATTCATTGTTACGTTAAAAATAGAAAAGGTTCACACTTAAACAGGTACAGAAGTAACTGTAACAGTGTGAGGTTTTTTCTTAAGGGGCAACTCCAAAACTAGTTCGTAAACGAGGGAAGGTGTATCTGTCGTCTAAGCATCAGAGCACTGGCGATTTTGGTGGAATGAGATCCAAATAGGCTTCTAAGTAAGAATTTGCCCCTCTGTACATGTAATTTATCCATTTTCTAGTGCTTAAAACAGTTTGAATAACCGGGTTAATTTTGGCCAATTTAAGCTTTGTACTGATACAGAGAAGAATCCAGGACCTTCAGGTTATTTAGATGCTACAAAAACAATTAATGCTCCATACTGTCAAGAAAATGTTACAGTATCTGGGGAAAATTCTGGACCACAATGTGTCGCAATGAGTCTGTGCACTTGAATTTACAGTAAGATAACAAAGATTACTTCAGTTGATGATATGACTCAAATAATGATTGTTGGTATTCAATTATATTCTAGTCTGTCACTGCTTGCAAGACAATCTATGTTAATGTTAACAGAATTGCCAGGAATGGTTACAGTGTCTGAGCAATTTTTCCACCTTGAATACAGTGACAGTTATACTTGTAACATCCATCACCACTGTGTATGCCACTCACAGGTTACAGCATTTGAAACACTCTTGGCACTGAACTACAACTCATTCATTTTAACGGTGGCAATTATTGGTGTTGGTATCTACAGCACTGAGGCTGGGGGATATAATGTATTTGATTCTCATTCTAAAGATATGTATCATAACAGTCATAGACATGTGTATTGTTGGAAATACCATCCATCCATAAATTAGTACAATATTTTCAGACTCTACATAGGAATGAGGATATATATGAACTTAAAGGTGTACATATTGTCACCTTTGAACGTCATCTTTTCTCAAGCAATGTTGAAAATTGTAGTATATCAAAATTAATGGTAATAGTTACCAATGTTCCTGTAAACATTGCTACCCTATAGCAGTTTATGCAATGTGTTACTCTCTTATTAATCCTTGTGGATACTGGACTTAAGGAACTTTATTTGCTCTTGTTAGTAACCGGAATACACTGTACAAAGTGATGGGTGTGAAAACACATCTGTCAGTATCAGTGGAGCTGAGATAACCCTTCCTCTCCGGGCTGTAACCACTTATGTCCTATGTTGCAATTTGGCTCCAAGCATGTCTGCATTGAAGATGTGCATATTTTGAAACATTGCGTGAAATGACACTATTTTTGTTGTGGATTGGGACAGATTGTATAAGCTGTGTGGTTCAGCAAACAAGTGGAGTAAGGGATTTGTCTTCTCTGGTAAGATATGATGACAGTTCTTTAGCTGTTCAAAGTACCATACCCGTAGTACGACCACGCCCAAATATACGCTCACACAGCGTCTTGTTCTCTGTATACCACCTTTGACAGTGGAAAAGGCCCTGGGTCAGAGAGGTTTTTAATTTTCTTCAATATTTATATGTTAAACATGGTGTCCGAGTATTCGTGGCTCGTTTCAAAAACTTTGGGGGAATTACTCTCATGTGAGAGGTTTGATAAGTCTGCCATTATACAGAGAGATTTAAGTTTATCTCAAGCGTTCTGTTTGTTGTGGCAAAATGACAAAACGGGAGACGTTGCTGGAAGGCAAAGACCGAGCGCCATGTCACACACGGCCTGTGCTGCTGTTCTGTTGGATTTGTATATTCTGGAAAAGGTTGATTTCGAGAAGGAAATCAAACAGTGGATGGACAGAAGAAGACAAGTTATTTCCGTACAAGTGGGTCGTAAAGTCATTAAATCCACTTATACTCCAACTTTATTACTAACGGAGAATCAGGCTACTTAAGGAAATTTGTAAGCTTATTAAAGGCTTAGCTAAATTTTTTAACAAGCCGTCGAAACACAACACGTATTCCTTTGGAACGACTCAGCCGTTCTTTTCGCCTGATTTGACCAGGAATTTTGACTTTGGAACAGCTTTGATTCAGACCGAATTTTGGCTTTCGTAATTTACTTAGGGGCTATTTACGTGATATCAGAATTTGTAGTCTTGCATTTAATTTGGAACAAGCCAATTTCTTCTCCGGATGTTTTTCTCTACTTGTTTAAAAGATGAACGTCCTGCCGGAGCGAGTTTAATTAAGTCTTCATTCCGAAGAATGCTTAACATGGTAAGCTGGTCGTCTCTCTTAACAAACTTCATTCGCGATCTTGAGCAAAACTCATTTTGGAATGAAAGTCATCCCAATATCATGAAGGTTAAATCTCCAGCCATGGGTGTCTTAATTTGGGAAGAATCATGGCTGCATCAAGACACCCATGGCTAGAAACTGAGCCTAAATATCATGTGAATAGCCGGCCCCTTGACTTAACTATAAGGAAAATTTACTGTCTGGATCATTCTGTAAAAGGCAAAATTCATTATGCAAGAAACTTTTTTTGATGTATGAAAGATGGTAAAAAGTTAAAAAAGGTTAAAAAAGGTCCAGAAACACAGGATATCTAAGTCACGACCAGTGTATGTGTTCCCACGTCCAGTGGTCTTGAAAGCGGATGAAACGGCAGTTTTTTTCACAGGCATCCCAAGCTCGTGTTATGAATGTTGAATGTAATTTCCATTGACGCTAGTGGATCGGTATCACGTTACAAGTGATCATTGAGACGTTGTACGGGAAATAAAATACTGAGGTCTGCAGACGACAAATATCATCATAGTTTACCTTTTCAATCAATAAAATCAGTAAAGAAAGAAAATTTATCTTTGTTGCATTTTTGTGTGTTTCGGTGTGAATTCATCAGTTTGCTCCACTTTTTGGCTCTATTGTGTTACCCCCTGTAACTCTGGACTAAATAGATGAATTCACACCAAAACACAACAAAAATAAATCTTCTTTATTTATTTTACTAATCAAAAGGTAAAAATATATGACGATATTTGTTGTTCATGCATAGACCTCAAGCTCAGTATTTTTTTTCTCATCAATGATTGCTTGTAACACAATACCAACTTACTTGCGTCAATGGAAATTACGTTCCACTCGTGATACTTTAGCTTGGGATGCCTGTGGTTATATTTACTTCAAGAGATTCATGACTTTTTCTCTTTCACAGAAATCATGTTTTGTGTGTTAAATTCACCATGTTATTCAATATTTATTTAATTCATCTATTTGGAATGATGTAGTATTGGTATATTATTTTCAGACAGGTTTTTTTGTAATACAGAGGAAGAGTCTTTGGCTCAATCTTGAAATCTTGGAAGCAATTGTGATGGGTCTCAAAGTCTCAGTGTTGGGTGATTTTTAACTGGGAGGTTCAAATTTTTGAAGTCTCAGTCTCGAATTTTGAAATCTCGCAGTCTCTCAAAGTCTTAAATTTACCATTCTTTACCGCTTTTGTTTTACTTCACTCATGAGTTTTACAGGTTGTTACACGGAGGATGAGCCCAAAAGGGAGGCATTTTATGTGGTGGGCATTATGTATATGTTCTGAGAAGTTTTTACATCATATTTTGAAATTTTAAAATTTTCTGCTAAAAACTGTTCAGTGTCTGAAGCAACAGGTAACTTTTATCAACATAGGGTTGACCCATTGTCTAGTTAAGTGACCTTGAAAAGTTTGGCATCTGTTTATAATAAGCTCATAATTTTGCTTTGTTCAGTAGGAAAACAATGAGATTGAGTCATAAATTCAATACAAATATATCATATGCACAGGTTAAAGATGCCACAATGACGAGTTCGTACTTGGACAAAGCACTTTTTTCAGACATTGTCAAATACCATAATAATAGTATGGGACGGAAAAAAACAACTGTTGAATGGATAATTCAAGGATCTCATGAAAGAGAAAACTCAGCAACTGCAGTCTTGGACAGCCTGGTGTGGCGGGGGATCCTTGGTAGGGAATCAATGCTTTTTGGAAGGAAATATCCAACACTTAATTCTGGTAGGCAAAGTTTTGTTTGTAATGAATTTGCTGTCTCCTTTTTTGTTATGCATATTGAATTTTACCTTCCCCCAACTTCCTCAGGCATACGTACTCGCGGACAAGAAAAGCTTTTTCTGACCTGAGGGTAGGAAATGCCTTACAAAATTTCTTGGAGTTCTTGTGTACAGTCAATCCATCTTAGTTGAAAGCTGTTTGCACGTCACTGCATCAATAACTCTGCATTGAAAGCCTCCAAATGTCAGTTTTATAAAAATACTTTCAAAACTAGTGCTGCCTAATAGAGGTTAGCCTGAGCAAACAGCTGACATTTTGCAATGCCACAACTGCTTTCCCTGCAAAATGACATCTGAGAAACGTGTGCTGAATTCCTTTACTGACGATGCGTTACTTCAAAGATCTGAGTAGTGGCACGTCATCAGTATGGAATTTCAGAAATCATTTTGTGAGAAATCCAGTGTTGGCATCGTGTAATGTTGGCTGTTTTCTCATGCTGGGATGTTGCATGTAATATGGTAAAAGCTAATATTTAGAATCCAGACATGGTGTGGATCTAGTGATGGTGATGTAGAAATTAGGTAGAAAAAACATATCTGGTGTGAAGTGTTGATATGTGTTCAACCAATTTGATTGATCCATTAGTCATTACATTGCAAAAGAAGTCTCATTATGAACTGCAAAAAGTCATATTCAAAGGAAAACAGGTTTTAACTTTAATTGGTCTTGGGGTTCACTGTGTGTATTATACCAGTAGGAGACAGTTTTCCTTGGGTCCCCTGTAATGTTAGCTCATCATCATGAAGAAAATAGTCTGAACATGCTCTGTGGTTGACAATCATGTTGGATGTACACAGTATAATCTAAGTGATCTTGGATCACTGATCCTGATCATGATCATCCCATTACTAATTAGATAGGTATGTTTCCATGTGTCCAACACAGTGGATGTTTGTTTAATGTTGTTTGAATATGAAAGTGGATCATGTTTTGTTGATCATCATGTCAGCACATCATGCTGCTATCCTACCAGGTGACTGTTTAATTAATAAAGGTGTAATATAGTTTAGTATTAGCGAATAGTTATTGGGAATTCTAGAGGGTCAGGGGTTTCGTTTGAGGTCAGACGCTGGACAGAACATCTGGTTGTTTGACATGTAATGTCTGGTAGTTCAATAATAATTGCCAACCTAACCCCAAAATATTTTTTCACTACAATACATCTTTGCACCTGTTTGAAACGCATTTGCCTGTTTTTTACCATTTTTGCCAAATCTTGACGTTTTGTAGGCTTCCAATACTTACGAAAGTAAACATCATTTGGTACACGACGGAGTCAAAAGGGGCATGGGTCTATTCCTGATTTGATGTCACAAACTATTTTACATGCATGTTTACAAAGACTTAATGGCATGTAAATCAGTTCGTGATGTCAAATCAGGAATAGACCCACGCCCCTTCTGACTTGGTCATAACCAAATAAGGCTCAGTTTTGAAGCCTATAAAAAGTCAACGGTTGGTGGAAAACATGATTAAATTCTCAGTGTGTTTCAAACAGGAGTAAAGATTTATTTTAGTGAAAAATATATTTTGGGGTTAGGTGCACTTTAATGCCTTAAGAATCTTAACGGTTAACCAATTCTGGTCTTTAGGGAACTCAGGAAATTGTGTTTCAGAGAGTCCAATTTTAAAAATGTTCTGGGGAAACATGCCCCCCACCCCAGAAGTTTGTGCCTGGGAGTCCACCAGCTGAATCTCTGCATCTGCAGCTTCCAAAGGGTAACTGTGTGAACTTAATAGATGTGACCCCTAAATGAAGGATAAATTTATAGTAAGCATGGGTGACCAATTTTAGGAATTTGAAAATGGTGGCTTAATGGAGGTTTGTCTGTTTGAGTATGTATTGTTGGTCATTATAGGCAGTAATGTACTGATGGTGGGTACAGTTTTATGAGGTCAAATTAATTGTAGAGGTGGTAAATTTAGATTTATAATAAGTGTACAGTTTCTTTGATTTTTGGTTTGATATTATCCAGATCCTGAAAAAAAGCTCATAGATGAAATAAGAGAGGTTGTTCTCAAAAATCAACCTGCAGATTTCTTTACTTGGACTCTTCTCAAGCTGGTATATGAAGCAGACTGTTGTTCCAGTAAGAAAGCACGTGTCCTTAGCAGATATTTTTCAGCTGACGAATTTCAAGGGGCACAAGAAGCAATCAAGGCTCTTGTTACTGTACCTGTTGAGGACAGCTTGATTGCAAGTCCTGATGCAGAAAGTCTTGAGTCATTTGAACTTAAAGTAGTTGAATAGTATGGGTGGCAAGAGAGGTACTTTAATTAAACTGTTTGTTGCAAATGTGCTGATATCCTTGCTCTGGGCCTCCAAAAGACTCAACGAAATACTGGAAGTTTCAAATTTCTTTTAATGTTGATGGGCAATGGCTTCAATTCTGACAGGAAAGTCATGTTGCGTACTCAAATGGTGGTGCACAGGTGGGGGCCTAAAACAAGGGGTTTAGCACTCTTTGACAGAGGAACTTAACCAGAGTTAAGTATCATTTGTGATGCAGGCTATTAAACTTAACAATGCTAAAGAAACAAAGTTCATTTACCATAATGCCAAGAGGTGCTCAATGTACCTTTATCAATTAAATTGTGGATTGGCACATAAAACAACAACAAAAACATAAAATTTTCTCCAGTTGTTCCCATATCATCTAAAAGCCTTTTCAGGCATCAAGACAAGAAAAGTGAGGAACTTGTCAGTTGTAACTTCATTGAATCAATTGCCAGTTAATTTGTTGTTTTGGAAATGGTGTGTCGTAGGAGAAGAGGTTAATGTTAGCCATGGCCACCAATACGACATTTTGGTATTCTTTCAACATTTCTGATAAGTAAAGGGGACCCCCCCCCCTGAGTAAAGTTGCAGTATAATATATAACTTTGCCAGGCAAATGCAATGTGTCAATCAATCAACACCTGTTATTTAAACTCAGTGGGGGTTAAAGCTTGTTGGTCGTATATAAAAGTAGTTAATAATAATTTTCTAAAAATATCCGAAAAAAAAAAAAGAAGAGAATTAGTGAAAAGTAAGTAAAATCAACATTTAAACAAATGCTTCAAGGAATCTATACAAAGCAATAAACGTGATGTATCATCTCTTGCGATACAAGGTAATGAAATGATACACTGAGAACTTTTTCTTCTTCAATCTGTTAGCGTTGCGAAGACTTAAAAAACCTGTTGGCACTTTGTGTCACCAAAGGTAGTGGCATGGAATGGCATGTGGATTGGTATGATATATATGTAGGTCGAGCCAGGGTTATTTTCTTTCCCATAACTGTACAATTTACTGCATTCTGCAATGTCATTCTCTTGTTTACACTTTTGTACTCCCCCTCCGTTTATATAAATACTGATAACCACAAAGGGTCCCTTTTAGTTGTACTGTATACAGCTACTTCGAGAAAGGTTGTCGGTGCACGCAACAATCCTGAAAGGAATTGTGGGTGGTTTTGAGTTCTCTTTTTTTCAAAGAAATTTGAAATAATTGGCACGAAAGGCCATGGAAATGTGTTTGCGAGTGCCAAAGGAAAGCAACAAAAGTAGGTTCGACAGGTACAGTCGTCAGGAACAGTGTATTCATCATATCCCATACTACCTTTCGGGATTGTCGCGTGCACATTTTTCCGACTGTCTATTATAATGAGGCTTGTGTAATGAGGCCTGTGATATTTAAATGAAGCGGACTCCAGTATAGAAAACGCTTCTGACCTTTCCGCACAGTGGCAGAGCTTTGAAGGCAGAGTTGAGGATGGCGTCATTATTTATTTTCTGGTATATTTACACTGTATGATTGGCGCGTTATTGAATCGTGTGGTAGCCTACGCTGATTGTAATAAATTGTGCCCTGACAATTGATACAACTGGCCTGTTGGTTGATAACCATCAAAGTAAGCTACTTCCACATATTCACAGCTGAATTCTAGGGGCACCAACGACTTTTTTCTGTTCGTTAAGGAGCAAATGTCGGGAAAGGGAAGGGAAAGGGAGTTTTAGGCACGAGAGAAACGCGAGGGGCGCGCGAGGAGGGAGGGAAGGAAACGCCTGCGTTTCCCTCCCTCCCTCCTCGCGCGCCCAGGCCCTCGCATTTCTCTCGCGCCTAAAATTCCCTTTCCTTTCCCTTTCAATCGCCTGCCACGCAGGCTAGGATAACTGTTTCATTCTTCTGGGATATTCGGACTTTTTCTACTAACTCACATACTGCGATTTTTGTAGGTTGTGTTTTTCACCAAGATATTGCAATAATTGTTAAAAAAAGGTATCATGAAAATTTCGGTTTAAAGACCCCTAAAGCGATACGGCTTCTCCATCTCCTGGGCCCATCAGGTAAGCTAACAGTTTCGGATAAGACGGAAAAGGCACACAAAACTTTCGCGACGGCCTAAGTTCTCCAAAGACATCCGAATAGAAGAGGTAGCTTGAAATTAGCCAAAGAGGCTTTTAAAAGCCTTGAGAAAAATCGCTTTAGACACTTCTGACGTATTTAGAAACATTTGGTTGTTCGGTGCCCCTACAACTTTAACGTAACATTTCTTTAATGTTCTTTGCACATGTTTCAACCATTGTCCTTAAATCACTTGGGGACCCATGGGGAATGTGCCCTATTTAACAAACGATGTGGACAAAAATCAATTCAAAAGATTGTATCATGACCTATCATCTGAAGAGCAAAATGACGTATGGAGGGAGTTTGATGAGCAGCTATTTTACAGATTCAATTTTGTCTGGGGAAATCACACGGAAAGTCTCCATACGAATGAAAAACGGGACGTCTAAAGACTACTGCAAAGCTGATCATAACAACGCGTATTGCTTTTTTTTGTAACAGGTTAACAGATGTAACATCTGTAAACCTGAAGAAAGTTTGCAGTAGACTTTGGACTTCCGGTTTTTTTTCTTAATCTCTTTTCTAGAGATCCAACGTTGACAACCAGCAGGGGTCTTCGTTCACGCTTATTGCAGTTATTTACTTATCCAAAAGAATGTATCGGAAAATTTTCAAGAGAATTTGTTTTTGTCCTCTGGGCCAGAAAAGTTTCCGTCAAGGTTAGAACTAGGTATGTGAAAGGAATACCATTCGTCAATGGAAGGTATTCCAAAGGGGTACCTTTTCTGACAGAAAATGGAATATATTAAAAGGGTAAGAGTTGGATCTCGGCCCGGCGGAGCCTGTGAAACCGAGGGGTGGTACGAAGCCCACCCTTTATTACCTTGTCTTTCTAACCGACTCTTCTGTAAAAACAAATTAAAAAATGCACTTTGAGTGTCAATGTCAGTTTAGCAAGAAAGAACTAACTGGGGCCACTAGAGACGGGAACGTTATTTTACGTGGTCATCCGAGCCAGGCAAAGGTCTAGCCATTTGCAAGACAAAGGCAGTACCTTTATTTCTCAGTTATTTTAAGACCCTGAGTATTGGTCCGGTCCTGGGATATGTCCAGAAATACACGCAGTGGCGAAAATGGCGTATTTGGCGATTAATCGCCAAATGGTTATCAAAAGTTCAAATGAAAATTTGGCATCCAATTTGAATATTTGCCGCATTCTGGATATTGCCAGCCCTTTGGCGATTTTTCGCTGTTTGTGCCAAACAAGGGGCCAGGTGATTTTTCGCCATTTTTGCCAAAATCGCCACTCTCCATGGGGCCACTTTTGGCATCCAGTTTGAATGGCCAGCCTTCTGGCATTTTTTGCCATTCTCGCCATTGCATGCATTTCTAGACATAAGTGGGTCTAGGTCCCGGGAATACAAACAGTGACCTGCCGCTCTGCAGTCAAGCGTTCTACCGACTGAGTTAATCCTGCTGCGGTTAAGTTTATTGAAATTGGGTCAAAGGTGGGCAAGAAAGATGAATTGTTGATGGAAAGATCTATCTACGAGCCTTTCACTGCGGAAGTGTTAGCTCAGTCAGTAGAGCGTGTGATGGTTTGTTCCAGGCTCCGAGAGAGTCGGGTCCGCTGAATTGAGAAAGCGCAAACAAGAAAATAAAACTTTTCGCGAACCTTTTTCTTTCGCGTCTTTCCCACTATCTGAGAGCCTGAAACAGGCTAAGTGTGTGACTGCAGAGTGGGAGGTCGCAGGTTCGATTCCCGAGACCGGACCAATACTCGGGTCTTAAAATAACTCAGCAATGAAGGTTCTGACTTCTCCCTTTGCACTGTCGCGTGGCTCAGATGACCACGTAAAGTCGCGGTCCCGTCGCCATAGTTTCCCCCATTAGTACTTTCGTGCTAAATACATTGACACTCAAATAAACTGCTTTTTTTTCCTTTGGTCAAGCACCTTTGTATAGCCAATATCTCGAACCTTGACGGAAACGTTCCTGGACCTTTCTGGCCTAGAGGACAAAAACAAATTCTCCTGAAAATTTTCCAATACATCATCCTGGAGACTTTTCCGGGGGACATGCTCCGTTGTTAGGGCTCTCTCTTTCACCCAATTTTTGGTTCTCGGGATTGATGGTCTGGGATTTATTCCCAAGAAACTGGTCAAGCACAAGATTTTTTAAGCCACCAAAAACATACTGGAATGGCCGGAAGAAAAACAGAAAAAAGAAGCCTCAGAAAATATTCCAAATTTTTTGGGTACGGGCTGTGCGCGATGGACTTACGACCTTTGGCACGTGGTTGAGGCCCATCTATCGAGAAAGCATCCATTGGCGAGAGGCCAGCCAAATAGGCCATTTCCGAGTTCCAAAAAACTTTCACTTTCAAAACGAGGCTAAGTGCAAAACCCTTCTTGTGAATGAATTTTTTTGCGTGAAAATGAACATCATTTTAAGATCGATGGCTTCGCACTTAGCCTCGCTTTGAAACAGAGGCTTGAGGCAACTCGGAAATGAGCCTACAGTAGAACCCTATTCAGGAGAATGAGCCCTCCTCCGGTCCACGGTTGGTTAGTCAGATGACTATTTCAAGCTAAAGACGTAAAATGAAGGTTGCTTACTGAAGGTTGTTTACCATTTACATGGACAAAACGGTCGGTTCACCGTTTGGATGAAGTCTGACCCAACAGATGATGATCTTAACTCAATTTAGGTCGATCCAAATTAGAGTTGGAATCGTCTCATGAAAAGCTCGACGTTTGGCCTAAGCGTTATAATCTTACAACAATGCACCTAAACTTCCTGCAATCTCTATTAGAAAGCAACTGCCCGATTAAAGCAAACGAACTCGCCGCCAATTGCTCCAGGAAGTCTGTTAAACGTAGCTTAGGCATAAAGACCGGCAGGACGCCAAAACACTGACAGAAGTATTTTCACACAATTTATTTCTACGATACCTCGCGCCTCGCTTAATTTTTTTTAAAAAAACCTACCGTTCTTTCGTGCGATCTACCAATAAGCTCGAAATAAACGTATTTACATTTATCTCACGTGAACCGCTAACCGTAAAGCGGCTGATAATACGGGTGCAGTAAATACATTATCTAGAGTGGACAATGTTCAAAAAATTATTACGTTAAACTTTTTTAAAAACACAGGCTAGCTTTTTTTCCACGAAAAAAAATCGCAAACATACAGACCTGAAATTGAAGGTACAAAAATAAATATTTGACACGACCGTAACCCTAGTGGCTTGTGCACAGCCGCGCGCCTTCTCCCAGAATTTTTTGAAGGCGGGGGCGGCTGTACACTGCAGGCAACTATGGCCTCTCATCGATTAACAAACAATGTCATTGTTGGTCAATTCAGGTAATTCTGTGCTCTGTGATAAAAACATAGTTTCGACAAGCAATCGCCGCTAGAATTCCATTCCCTTTTTCACGAATTTCAAATAACATATCTACGTGTTACGTCATTGAGGCAATTTCAGCCTGTTTTTCCATAAATAGAAGTTGGTCCACTAAGAAGCAGTCTCCTGGTTTATCTACAATTTTTGCCAGGCCATCCAGAATGGAATCTTCATTGCTAATCTCGTCTCCAAAGCGAGCTTTTTTCAGGTAAGAGTACACCCGATGAAACGCTTCAACACCAAGCAGTCGTTCACACTCGCTAACTGTGAATTAAGGATTTGGTTTCCTGCTCTTAACCTGAGTAACACTGGAAAAATTATCAACAAAAGAAACATGAAACTAAGTTTAGTTAGGTAGTGCTTTGGCTTGCGAGCAGGCAAGTTCGTGGAGAATTCTGGCGGCACGAGCAAGCAACGCCGGCGACAACAATAGGCGCCTCCGCCGCCAAAATTTTCCCCGAATTCGCGGAACCTGGTTTTTAACTGGTTTTGAGATATGATAATATCATCAAAAATTGAACTGTAGAAAGTAATGTAATTATGTTGTCAATCAAAACAAGACCACTGAACAAGTAAATTGTCCTTTTCTGTGAAGTTTAATATTTGTAAATCGAACTGGGGAAATTGCTTACATCAGCGGCAAATGAACAGTATAGAGCGTGTTCCGAATCTCTTAATTTTTTCTGTCTTCACTACAATAGCTGCTATTCTCAAAAGGATACGTCCGTAAGGCTTGAATTCTCTGATGTCTCAATGAGTCTGTAAGTTCACTCGGGTTTGATAATTCAGCTTCAGCAAATGTATCATCAGCAGATGATGTCTGATCCAATGCATCCTGCATTTGTCCCATTAGTGCACTCAAATCATCTTCATCCGGCTCAACTTCGTTTTCACTGTCATCATTTTCAAACTCATCTTCAAACTGGGAGTAAAACGTTTCTGCTAAGTCTGCATCATCAGGAATTTCTGTCACATTCGTTAAAGCCAAAGAATCTTCACCTGAAATGAATTTAACTTGATCACAAATCATTTTAAACTGCTCACAAAATCACTGGTCCTCGCCAGTGAGGGCCCTAAGCAGTCTCAGTGTTTATAGCGGAGCCTCCGCGCGCGCGAAGCGCGCACAGCGGAGCACCATGCGTAATAAAATTTGGTAAGCTATCTGTCCGTACGGACTTTCCGGGTAGGGGTAAGTAGAAACGAATTCCTTCCTTCTCCCCTAGAGAGTTTTGTCCCCTATTGTTCCAAAAGCCTTTAGAAATAATTGGCAAATCAGAATCTGTCAACTGACCAAATGTTTGGTGGATTTTAGGGGGCCGACCATTTAACTTCTGAGGCGGTTATGGGTGATTTCGGAAAAAATGTCCTGCAGACTGATTTCGAGAGGATGAAAGCACGCAAATAAATTCCTGGTGAGAAAAATATCCTGAACTGAAAAAAAATATCGTTCATGACGGACAATGCTGAAAAAAATCTTACACCGTTATATGTCGGAGAAAAAATTTCTAACTCCAGAGACTATATCAGTAAAATCACCCATACCCCACTCCCCCACAAACGTCCAATGGTCATGTCAACCATTTAGGGGGTGAGGCCCGGTTCAGACGCCGAACTTTTCATGAGCCGAACCTAATGCATTGAATTAAGTACATGAAAAGTTCGGCGTCTGAATCAATTAGGAACGCCTGGCTCAGCCGTTCTTTTCGCCTAGCCTGGCCGGGAATTTCGCCTTTGGAACGACTTTGGAACGGCTTTGATTCAGACGCCGAACTTTTCACGTACCTAACCTAATGCATAAATTATTATAACTTTTTTTCTAAGCAGTTTGACCGAAATGAGCATATTTCTCCTCCTGAATTTAGTCGGCTGGAATTAAGATCGGCGTCTGAATCAATTCAGTCGGTTCAAATAATTTGGGTCGGTCTTAATTCGAGTTAGGTTCGGCTCATGAAAAGTACGGCGTCTGAACCGGGCCTGAGGGAAGAAACGGATTTGACACCTTTGTAAATGTCATCCATGCACAGAATGGCTGGCGCGCGTTCATGATGTGGTGGGTTTCAAGACTAAAGTTTTCCATTTCAAGATTGAAAATACGCCCATAAAAGACACAAATGGAAAGAGAACAGATGAGAACGTTCAAAAGAATGCTCAGTTTCCTTTTTGTGGACAAACGAGAGCTTTTCGCTCTGAAATTGTCTTTCGAGGGATCCGACCTTGTTTTCTACACGGCGGATCGGAGCGCTTGGCTTGTTTTGAACCAACCAAGGCAAAGAGGTTTCTGAAGACACTTGAGGTACATTCCGTACTCTATGATCAAAGAAAAGTACGTTTTTAAAAGGGAATTTTTGTATTTATAAAGGTTTCATGGACGTTTTCTACATTTTGACATCGGCGTGAAAGAAAAACCACAAAATGTGCATTTGAATTGATTTTTTCCATGTGCTCGACCGATTTAACTTGCGTGAACGCAACGATTTAACTTGTCTTACGCGAATTGCTTTTTAGGACTAACGTATGGGTTTTTCAATAAAAATTTTCAAGAAATTAAGTTATTTATCTGTCATTGTTCATTCATAACATTAGCTCAAAAAACGACCATGAGACTACAGATCGTAAGATTTTTAGAAACATTCAGACGGGCCCTTTCTTGAATTAAAACTGAAGTGTTGTTTTTTAGTTTGTACATCTTCCGCATTGAATTGCTATTCATTTTCTCATTCATTACTTGCCATTCAAGAATAATCTAGTTTCGAATTAAAAATTACCGCTGAATATAAACATTAACGACACATTCATACAGGGTTAGCCTCGACGTGAAGTAAAATATTCAGAAATTCCGGCAAGTAAGTGTTTGAAATTTGAATATACACAATAGATAGAGTAATAAACAGGTCTTTTTCTCGTGGGAATTTGTGAATATATTACTTCAGATGGAGGGTAAGGCTGTAAAAAATGCGTCTTCAGTTCTTTAATTCAGCGGTCATAGCGAACTCGAAACTTGACTATTTTGCAGTGTGCTGCTCTTTTTCCATAACTTGTGCCCTGAATACAGCTGAATACTGCTTGAATTTTGCGTTTGCGTTTGTTTTCAGTTGCTTGTTTACGGCTTTATATTCTCACTGAAAAAGTGAGCTTATCGAAAAAATGAAAGAGTTCTCCTCTATTCTAAAACGGACAGACTCTCCGGCTTTTCGAGCCCGAGTTTGTCTTTTTTTTCTTATAAAAAAAAGTTGTAAGTTGCTGTATTAACGTTTATATTTGTAGTGAAAGATTGGATTAGTGTTATTAGTAGAGAAAAAGGTTATCGTTTACTTTCCTATGTCTGTCCTCAGAGAAAATATTATACACCTTACAGTAAAATTTTCTTTCAGATATTGTGAGGTATAAATGTAAAGGCTACACATAACTGTTCGTCCGGGCCCGTTTAAAAAAAAAAGAAAAGAAAATATAATGGGCTTACGGGAAGACGAAAGTCCTTAAGTCGACCTGATTTTTCTCTTAGGTCATCTCTTAAACACAGAAACACTGACCCTAGAAATCGTAACCTGTAAATTGCTACTACTTAAGAGACCTACAATTTAACAATTTTTTCAATTTAGGTTTGTTTGTAGGATATTTTTTCTTAATCATTTAGCCCCTCCTTCTAAAGGCGCCTGATGCCGAAGGCTCTTGGGGATGTGAAGATTTCATTTTTGGGGGGGGCTTAGAGTTCATGTTATCACTTTAATTTGATTGCTTTTATTACGAGTAAAGAAACGGAGGCTTCGCTTTTAGCCCTGGCTAAATCTATATATTAGATTGTACAAAGGCATACTTCTTAAAATCTTAAATTTCACCTCAAACTACTATGATGCTTGTACCGTTTAGTTCGTGGATCAATATAAACGTCAGGTCGAAATAGGACCTCATGCATAACTTGTGAAGGCGAAGAAATCTGCCCAAATATCACGATTCCAACAAGCAGGCAAAAAATACATGCAAAGTACAAGAACGTCAACTAGGAACAACTCGAAAAATTCGTACACAGGTCGTTTACGTATAAGCTCCATAAAAATAAAAAACAAATTAAGCAAAAAATGGAAAAGAACCGGGACGATTGAAATCGAAAAATGAAAATGGGGCTTATTTTTTAAGAAATGACTCCATAGATAACACCTATCCCCGTATCAGGGAGCTCCTGAGGTTGCAAGGCTTTGTTCATGCAAGGTAACTGCACGCTCAATACCAGGGAAGGAGGCTGTACGTTGTGTATGACTATTAGCACTAATGAGAGACTTTGGTCGCCTGATATCACAACCGACAGTATTAAATATTCCAAAACTCATTTTACTAAATGTCCCGAGAGGCGATGAGCGAGGATAGACAGTTGTATTCGCAGGCTATGGAATGAGGGCTTACTTGCAGAACAGAGCTGCTCATAGTTGTTGTCACTTGACATTGGTACTGAAACTGTTATGGGTGAAGAAGGTTCAAGTTTGTCTGCAGCTGTGATAGTGAATGCAGCATCGTTAAACACATCGGGATGCTCCTCAACCCATGGTAATGACACCTGGTTCTGAAAGTAAAATGGGAAAAGGGAACGAGGACGCTGAAACCTTCATCAACTGGTAATCAGTAACTAATATTACATAGGATCAAAAGAGACATCTGAAAAACAGGTAACCTTTAAAACAGAAAGTGTAAAACTTGGCCTTAGGCGTACCTGTTTTTTCTTATGTGAACTGTACTGTGCTTGGTTTTCAGCTGAATGGAGAGCTGTATACCTCCTGGAAGAAACAAAAACTGTTTGAAAACTATTTTGACACTGGTCAAGATTGACGATAAAGAGGAGAAATCTCATGGATGCCGCCAAATCATTTACCCGGGCCTCTGCTTCACAGAGAAAACTAAAGCATCGCGTTACAGTTATGCAACGCAGCAGTTTTTTTATTCCAAATTAGGTAATCGCTCCACTGGCATACAGTAAGATGCTTGCAAAGAGAAAAGGGCCGGTAGACCTCACTGAGGATTGCCTTAAGCTTGGTAACGCTGCGCAACAGTCAGACAGATTAAGAACTCCCAGGATTTTTAAAAACTGGGTACTCGCAACTCTCGTGCAAAGAAAAAGTTACCTAACTACTTACAAGGGATGGATGCACGACATTTCTGTTCAGGGTAACTAAAAACGTATACCAATTAAGGGAACATATTTCTGAGACAGTGTGTCAATGAATATGACGCCTGTCCCAGTTGCAATTCAACAATTTTGTATTGCACAGTGATGTCATCTCATACAGGTGTTTTAATGTCTACCCCGATAATACAAAAGTTTTTACAAGTTTTATTACACGAATTTGAAAAAGAGGGACTGTCGTCACCGGGAAGACGAGTTAACGGGTTTGACAAAGAATTGTGTGTTCATAACACACACTAGGTGAAACACTTAGGAGGAAGAAACCCTTATTTATTCAAATCTCTTGCAATCGTAAATAAAAAAGCAACCGTTTCTCGACACACAATACATCTAGATTGCACGTGGGTCTATTAAATTGAACTTAATTACAGTATCAATTTGTTTAAATTACCTGTCATCACAAACAGAGAAAAACGAACCTTATTCTTTCAGCTTCTTCATCAGCTTTTTGTTGCTTTCTCAATTTCATTTTATCCCTGTCAATAATAAAATGAAATAGACATTATTTTGAATAATAAGTAAGCTTTTAGGAACTTTACCGCAGGGTCGTAACATGGTATATCCGAGACCCACTGATCCCGATTTTCTTGCCGTTATTTTGATCCCTGAGCCCCCTTTTCCCCAAAATTTTGATCCCTGAGCCCTGATAAAAAATTGATCCCGTCCATGTTTTACACAAAATTTTAACTTAGACAACTTTGTGTATCTCCAAATATAGAATATAGAACATGTTCAAATGGGCTGATGAGAAAAACATAAACTTTGATTTTTAGTGCAAGTTGTATAGGTTCTATCAGAGCTTTAAAGATCAATATGAGTCAACCCCTTTTTGTGCATTACTCTATTTAAAACACTTTAAATATAATGTTTGGCGATACTATGCAAATAATAAAACCTGATTTTCTTGAACGGGAGCTTTAGTAAGATACAGAATGTAAGTTATTGTTAATTTATACATCAAAAGTAGTCCACTTCAATTCAAGTATCGTACATCTTGAAAGATCTTGCGGCGGAAACTTGATTTTTTCAGATGTACCGTTCATCAAGAGTATTTACAAGGTTTAATTTCAGTGTTGCTCATAGGAGCAAGGCCACCCGGAGGTTTACAAGCCAATCACAAGAAAACATTAGATTCAAAATTCCAATAAATACACTTTTAGTCAAACAGCAAACACAGCTAGCGCTGGTTGGTCCCCAGTTAAATTAACGTCCTTGTAAGGTACTTCTGAACTAAGGTCTTCCTCTAGCTTTCCAATTCCTGTCCCGTACGAACGCCGGCCGTGTTACTGGTCTACAATATTGATGTTAATAAAGTGTAATCGTTTGTTTCAGGATTCAGTCACTTGATGATGTAGATCGCGACGTTTCAACTGCGTACTTAAAGACCTTGCCTTGCTAGTCTTCGTCGACTGGTCACACGTGAACTTATATGACTCCAAGCTCCGGTTCTGGTTGGTCGATTATTGGTGCATTTCTTACTCCGTTGTTTGTATGAGCTTTTGTCTCACTGGTGAGCTGTCGTACGAATCTCCTATTGCTTTGTTTCTTGATTAAGGGCAACCAAACTTCTGGACATTCTATTCTGCTATCCCTGTTGATGTTGAGAGTGTAGTCTTATGTGAATTTCCTCTTTCACTCTGTGTGTGTTACATTGAGGATCACGATCAATTACCAATAGCAAAATACCCGCTTTACATGAAGTAGAAAAATTAAATGATGCAAGCCACAGGTTCTACAGTTTTTAAAACAGCTTTTCTGTGTCAAGCCCATTAATGCCGGCTTTTCCTGGCTTAATAACCATTGTAGATTGTCAGAGGACACATCTGGTTGTAGGTCTTCCAGACCTACTCCTTCCAGCTTCGAATCTAATTGGCTCTGAAAAGGTGCGCACCTGAGCTTACCCCTTCCTCTTCGTCACCACCTGACGCATGTGAATCATCTGATTCAACTGACCCCTGGAGCAATGCAACTAGGCGTTGCTCTTGAAGGCAGCTCAAACAGAACTTGTTTCCGTCTTTTATTATTTGAACTTTCCGATGATACACTCAGGTGAATTTCTATCGTCACCGTGCCCAGTCTGGTATACAACTGGATCTTACTCTGACTGTTCCAGCTATCTCAAACCCATGTGATCTTCCAGGAATGCGTCACCGTTATGGTAAAGATCTTTTAAAAGAACTGCAAGGAAGAAAGGAATGATATACCTCTTGTAATTGTGCTTGACAGCAACTAGGTCGCCTTTTGAATAGATAATCTCATATTCTTCGGCTGCGTCTTGAACTGTAGTTTGTCCTTCACTCCCTTGAACCTCTTTCAGCAGATCGACCTCTCCATGTGCCGACGCATTCCTTCTGAACATACTCAGAGCAAGTGGAAGTGTACCAGCTCTTTGTTTGGTCTTCCCTCTTGTTCGTTGCTGTCGTACACCCCGTCCGAATTCTCTCGCAAAGCTCTGAAATGCCTTCCTGTATCGCTCCTTTCCCTCCCCGCTCGTTTCCTCGTCCATACCCTCCTTAAGGTTTACTCTTGCCGTGCGACTTTCGAAGCCATTCCGGTGCCTTTGGACCAAGCTTTGTCTGTGTGTAATGGGTTTGAGGACCGGTACAAAAGATAAACGAGGATTGGTAGAGCCTCTCTATTGATTCTAAAAGACAGCTGGGCCGCCGCGATGCGTAGTAGTTCAGAGCGGGTGTTCTCTCTCCACTAAAAAATTCAGGCTCCAAATCTAAGGTGGTGATACCTTTCGGGGTCAACCATTAGATAAGCCGAGGTCGAATAGCCCAAAGGGCCGAAAAAATTCTTGTAGATCAATATTGTCGCTAAAGTCTCTAAATTTTGTGCAAAACAAAATAGCCACTGCACGAACGAGGTTCGAAAAAATCTTGCATGAAAAAGATAACCCATCCTCGGCTCAAAAATCAAATAGTGGGCCCCTAACTGATGGCCCTTAATTCATGCCGAGTGCTATAATATATTACATTCCTGCAGACTCTGCTACTTGTACCTAGTATGCAACATTCCTTTCACCAGTTAAACCGTTTATTTTATTTAAAAAAAACTGAAGAAAATAAACTATAAAGGCTTTGTTACTTTTATTTCACCGAGGTGAGTCTTTGGTGTTCCACTTGTTTTCACTGATTCTACACTGTAATTTCAGACTATTTATCATACAAGCATTTATCATTTATACAGTAATGGAATGTGTCCTTTACTTTCCCGGCCCAATACTAGTATTGGTAGGTGAACCGATCTCGGTTTCTCATCAGAGTTCGAGATAACCCTAAAACTCCATGCAATTAGAGCAGATTTATTAAATTGCGAGAAAGCATTTATTTTGCAACAAAGCGCGCGAATTCATTGTACTTTTGTATTCTACTTTTGACGTCCATTCTAATTATTTAAGTACTTTTAAGAGTTAAGTTACTGGTCAAAAAATACAAACCTCGATTTATAGTCGCCTTGTGACTTGCTTGAGTTGATGAGGCAATCGGGACCTATACAGTAAATTCCGCTTTCAATGAATCGGTTTGTCTATTGTCCTGGCGTATTATTGTTATGTTTGATCGGCCGAAAAACCCTATGCTTGAACCCTTGCCAGGGGTAAATCAGTCAAGGAAGTACTTACGTACCTTTCCCTGTCACAGGATTTCTTTTTGTCCTTTTTCTTCTTCCCCATTTCTCGTCAAAAAAGATATGTAGAAATCGCTTTCTCTGCCTTCTGGCGTTGACAGCGCGTTGAGAAGTTGCGTTACAAAGCGAGAAAAGTGACTTGAGATTCATATCACGGTGCCCTAAACAATTAATATATTAAGAATATGATACTATGTTTTCTTCGAACAACCAGGACTTCGTTTGACAGGAACTTCCGCCAGCCGGAAGCAAGAATAGGTAATGTACCTTGGCCCGAAATTTTACTGGACACAAACCTTATGAGGCGGAAAAATATTGTGATAAGAGATTTTTAGACTGCGTAATAAATCTGATCCCTGATTCGGGCTCAAAAACCTTGTGATCCCTGATCCCATTCTTCTGAGCCCTGAGCCCTTTCCTGTGAGCCCTGATCCCAGTTATATTTTGGGCTTTGAGCCCTGAGCCCATATACCATGTTACGACCCTGTTACCGGCTTTGTATTACAGCAGGTGATAGAAATAGATGTAAACGTTATTTTTCATTATACTTTCGATAGCATTTTAGATAAGCATTTTGTGCTTTCATTGACCTCGTCGTCGTTTCGGTCCAGAAAAGCGCTTAAAACGAACGTGGCCAATATCCACTCATGATGATCTCACGCATTGATTGCAGAAAAAGGCAATGTGAATTGAACTCAGGAACAACTCTAATAAACTCTCTCTCTGCTCAGACTTAGATGACAAAACGACAAAATGATTTCCGAAATTTTCGATATGATTTGACTCCACAACTGGATCTCGTTCACTGACCCATGCAAGAGTTACGTCATACTTAAAAAAGGCTCAGTCAAAGCCCTGGCCGAGAGACGTAAAAAGTTAATATCTTACAATGCGAGTCAGCGAATGCCAACAGGCCATGGTGGACAGTATTAAAGGATTTGGTTGACATAATGAGGATAGAAAATAAATTTAAGTATTTCATACTATCTCATTTCCAAATGCACTAGTTTGGTGGCATCCCAACTGGGCAGCGCGTTGGTTCAAGACACGAATGAAACTTATACAACCGTTAAAAATCGCTAGTAAAAAATATAGGCTCTTTAACAAGCTGAATATCAGACATTTGACCACAAAGCAATCGATAGACCAAGCAATGTTGCGTTAAAGAAATGATCAGTACGTATTGGAATAGGTGAATCCTTGTTTCTAAGTAGGCAGTAATCCATTTTAAACAATTCTTTTTAGTGCTTTCCTGTCAACTGAAGTTATGCGCACCATCTCCTACAACGTTTCTAGATGTGCTGCAATAAAAGTTTCTCTGACCATGGCTCAAGGGCAAACGTGACGTACGTTTGAGTGGTGCCTTACCCTCCCCCCCCAACACACACACACAGCAAGAAAGACAGAACGATTCTTGCTGGACTTCTAACCTGCCCAACTAAAAGTGAAGACAAGCACGAGGTACACGAGCATGTTTATGGAAGAGAAAACATTTACACAGGCTTGCAAAGGCTTAGAAAAACGGTTTCACGTACCAATTACCACCTTAGGAATGCTGAAAGCGGGCGCTCCTTGCAAAACTAGAAAATAGGACTAAGATCAAATACGAAGAATTTGACACTCTGGTGCCAATAAGAAGCTGTTAAACTTGAGCGGTTTTTATTGTGGTCACTAATTTAATTTTGGCCAAGAATGAAGACGAAAGAGTTAGAAGATTGCAGCAAGGTATCTCACTATCTCGGAAAACGCCTTTAAGATTTCACTCGAAATCTAACTCTTGCTAACTCTCGGTGTGTATCATAAGCTCACAAATCAACTGCTCTTTAGTTCAAGAGTAGAGTGTTGTATCCTGCCTTCTTTAATTTCTTGTGGAAAAAGCTCACACATGTCAAGCACACACTATGTTACGGTGAAGGAAAAGGGTAAGTAGACCTTAAGGAGAAAATGATTGAGAAGAGAAAAGAGAACTGCAGAAGATATCAAAGACAAAACAAACAAGTTGTGGCTAGGATGTGTACCTACATTGGTGTAAGAGGCCTGCCTTGTGGTTCTTGATACAAGCTGCTGCCTCCTTGACGCTCATAGGACTCTCCTATTTTACTTTCCTTATTTGACCTATAACATGCATAATGATTAAAAGTTACCTCGGATGTGATCATATCTTAGGCAAATTGATTACTGCTGAGAGTGAGCTTGAAACCAGTCTCTGGTAGAAAGTTCGTGACTGTCTGTTACATGTAACTGTTGTTTTTATTTTCCAGTTGCTGTTGCAAGAGATAAATAATTTTCCCCTCCTTTCCAAACTAAGGACATCGTTGTTTTTGCTTAAAGGAATTTCGGCTGCGAACGACCACATTAATCATTTATGGCTTAGTACCAACAACTTTCTTGCAGCTGACAAAACATAGATATTTCACCAATGTATCTAATGTCCACTCCAACAACTTAAGAAAATTAACTCTTCAGTAAAACTGCGTACAGGCCTATAAATAACGATTATTCACCGAAGTGGAGGTGGCTAGTCGTGGATGTGTACTGAACTGCGAAGCAGTGAGGTAAATATCCACGACTAGCCACCGACACTGAGGTGAATAATTGTTTTAGTATATACTAAAACAGTGAGATAATTGAGCACAAAAATGATGATTTTTAACTCAAATACTGTTGCCAACGATTACAATTTTGGAGCGTAATGACAGGGTGGCCGCGGCCGTCGCTTTTTCTTGCCGACAATTAATTAATTGTTTAGCTCTTGCGGGGAAATTTCTTCAAAAGGAGTTGTGAATTCTTTTTGTATTTAAAATCATTGTATAAAAAAAAGATTATTAAATTTAGTTTTAGCTTATTTATGAACAACTCAACTAAATAAAGTAACGCAAGACTTAAACTTAATTTGCATTTGTAAACAAAAAACTTTTTCACCGGTTTTATCGATAAATTCGTGTCAAAAAGACAAAGCTTTACCTGTTAAATCTTCCAATCCGAACTTCGTCACGTTCGTCGTGTATTTCGGAAACAGCTTGCTTCATTAGTTGTAAAATTTCTTTGTTTGTTTACGGCAGCAAACCGGGAGGGCATTTTGCTCGCAACTTACGCGAGTTTGGCGTCGCTCGCTCGGAGGAACTGGAGGTGAATCAGTGAATAGTGCAGGATATTCACTGATTGAGTAGCCAATCAGAGCGCGCGAAAAACACTATCCACTGTTTTAGTATATACTAAAGTCGGATACCGATATCCATCCCTTAAAAGTGTGCAACACTTTACGAATGTGAGTCCTTTGGAACATGGCAGGTTGTTTGCCATGTCACCTTATTAGCTCTTGACAGGTAGTTGTCAGGCTGTTAGCTTCTTAGCCATTGTAAGCAGCAGCTACAAGCTCTGTCACCCAGTACTCTCTCAGTCTTCGTCAACTCTATCACCTTTTAGCCACTATCAGTTTGCTTTGAGGAGGAAAAGCAGCCTTTGTCGGCCTGCTGAGCAACTGTCACCCCTCTTGTCAGCAATGTACCAGGTAACCCCTCTTAGTCTGTCAGCCTCTCAACCATCTCAGGCTGTCAACCTCGCCTGTCCATCAGCTCTGCTGGTCCAGGTGAGCCCTGTCAGCACTTACCACTCCAGGTTGTCAAATCTATCAGCATTTATCAGACCTTGATATTCCTGTTAGCCCTATCAATCCTTATCAACCCTGTAAGACCCTGTCGGTCACTCACCCCTCTTACCCTGTCAGCCCTTGTCCTTTTTAGCCCTGTCAACCTGTTGTTCTGTCAGTCTCTTTGCTCTCTCAGGCTGTCTGTCAGACTGTCAGTCCTGCTAGTCCACGTGAGCCCACGTGATCTATAAAACATATTTTTAGTTCTAGAAATACAATACTTACTGTTCTATTCGACATTTTATTTTCTGCAATCAAATGGAAATATTGTTACTTGTCTTAAATGTATGTCAAAGTATGAAATAGTCTAAGAAAGGTGAAGAGAGAAAAGCGCAGCACAAAGGAACACAAAATATGCATTGGTAACAACAAACTACAAATTCTGTTTTGGCAATTTGATCAAGCAGTATAAGGTTAAATGAACAAAGGAAAAACAAAATTGGACACCAAGAACATGCTTTGGTTACTAAGACCAGTTGACTAGTTATACCTTAAGATTACCAAAGGTCAATGCAAACCATTAGAAAGGGTAATAAACATTTGCATGAAGTCAAGACTAAAACAAACGAATCACAACCACAACTATTGCAATGCATGCAGGCCTCAACAACTTTATGCAATAAATAAAACAAGAAAGGGGAGTTGATGCTGACATCAGACGATACACTGAACCAATCAAAGCAGCAGCTGACATTGAGCTGACCCATGGGCTTGAAACACTTTTTCCAAGGGCTGAGTGAATGATAAAGTATGCAAGAAAACCTTGCCCATGATTTCTTGGGGATCAGGGGTTTGAATGAATTCAAGTAACATGGACTAACTGGCCTGAGCAACGGATCTTTGTCTTTGCTGCTCAGCCCATGCACAACCAAAAATAAAAAAACATCCTTGAAATGTGGATCCAGGTAAAGTGTTAGCTTTTATACCATTTGTATCAGAAGGGTCATCTTGGACTCCCACATTTATATGAAATGTACACTGTATAATTACGATATTTTCTGCTGGTCTGCATAAATCTGTCACTGGTTGTGACAAATTCAGTCAATACTATCGCGTGTATGCTTTCAGTCATCCATCGAGAGGTTCAGATTATAATCAAAATGTTGTTCCCTTTCCCCTGAAATTAATAGGTATGTAAAAGATAAGTTGCTAATATCCAGTTTATAAAGGAGAGGCAGACAACATACCGCTAAATTCTCTGCAACATAGTCATTTCTAAGAACTTCACTTGCACTTGGTCGATTGGCTGGGTTTTTATCTAACATCCTAGAGGCAAAATAAATTAAATTTATTCAATAAACAAAAAGTAATGACAAATTAACAAAGCACATTAGAAATCCAATCATATTCATGTGTGAGATATTATATCAGATCATTTTGAAGAAGAATAATAATCTCCTGGTGAAAATGAAATTCAAAATGAGCCAAGTAGCTTGCACGAAAACAAGGTAAATTTGTGCCAATAAGATTTTCATCCCCATAAAAAAATTTGGAAGCAGTCTGTCAACTACAGTAAATAAATACCTAAGCAAATACGATGTTAAAGGACAATAAATTACCCCACTCACTCTGGTCTACCCTTGTTTTACTGCCGGCATGTTTCCTTATTTCTAAAATATAATTATCATTTTACAATCATCTGATGATAATAAACATACCTCTTGTACAAATCCTGTAGCTGTTCACTGTATTTCTCAGGTAGTTTAGGTGGCTCTCCTTCCACAATTCTATACATCACACTCATTAAACTCTGAAACAAAATATATTTAGCTTATAGCAATTCCTAAAAAATATTGGCCATGCTGGCCAGTTGTAACAAACAGGAAAAAGGAATCATGGAAATTCACTGACTTTGAACAAATTAACCTATATTTAGGAGCAAACTGATCATGGTCACAAATGCAAACTGACCACGGTTGAAAACAAACTGATCTAAAACACAAATTGACCTACAGCACTTTTATGTTACATGCACGGTTTTCAATAAGGTTTTAAGTAGGTGGCAAAAGCTTTTGAGTAGGCAGAAACGGAAAAAACTCGCACCACAGGCGTGACTTGGGAGTGCCGAAAGCGAAAGTTACTGGGGGTTGGGTCTGGGCCTCTTAAAATGCATTTTCAGTATTCTGAAGCAAAAATTAGAGTGTTTGAACAGAACACAGACACTGTTAAATTTTGGCTTTTTGGGGTCTTTTTTTCCAAAGAAAAGTAGGCGGCGAGTTCACGTGAAATAGCTGGTGAAATCTGCCACTCTTATTGAGAACCCTGTTACATGTATGTGCCATAGTTAACTTTCTCAGCATTGCATGGGTTGTTCATGTTGGAAACAGATGTGAGTAAGACTGGCCTAACCGTTCTTTTTCACAGGTCCCTGGAATTTGAGCAGTTGTTGTTCTAGACACAAAACTGTGGTATTAAGGTCATCTTAAGTCAGTACCTGCCACACAGGTCTTAGTACTTTATCCCCAGAAGATGTGAGTATTCGGTAAGGGAAAATACGTTTCATTGAGTAACCAGGACTGGAAAATACAGATTTTTTAGTTTACTTCGCCATTTCCTGCCATTTTTCAATGGCAGGAAATTCCAAATAAGATTAAAAAGATCAAGGTTACATTCTTTTTAGCCAAACTTTTTTCGGATATGGACAATCCAAATGGTTTGGATTTTCATGCTAGCTGGAAAAAAAATCTGAAATAAGATTGAGCCATATGGCAGCTGCCTGCCGCTCCAATCTTCTTCTCAATTGCAATGCATCGTTTTTTATTTTTATTTTCTTTCTGCTAAATTAAGCATCTTCTTGTGGAGAAACGGAAAGAAAATTAGCTCTTTAACTAGTGGTGGTTCATACTGGAACTCATCAACTTAGAATTATCTGGAATTTGATTCAAGAAAATTGAGAAGACAATTACGAATTCTAAAGCGCTGAGAAACGTGTTCTAAACACACACAGACATTGAACAGTATAGTTTTACAGTGAGAAAATCTAAGCGTTTTCACTTCCTAATGGATTTAGAGTAACAGTGGAACTTGAGATAAATATACTACAATCCGCTAGCGGCATAGAACAACGGGGGAATATAAATAACTTTTGCCTGAACTAACCGTGACCCGCCGTGTTTACTGATGAATGAGCACGTTTTTGCGATTGAAAAGCAGTTTCATTAAATGGAACAAAGTTATGAAACCAGGTTGAGATACCAATCTGAACGATCCACGCTCAGAGGTAGATCGTTCAGATTGCAATCTTAGATTGGTTTGGTCCTTAATGGAACAAAAAATCGAATTTTTGATCGCAAAATCCAGATTTAGATTGGCTAAAAGGAATGCAACCCAAAAGAGGTACAATGCAGTTTGAAGTACGCTTACAGGCTACCTACCTAAGATTATACTAGTACTTACAACGCAAATAGTTAAATAAAAACATCTAGACTTAAATCATGTTATTTTGAGTCTTGCTTTTTTGTCAAGAATTAACGTACCCCAAATAACCAATACATGTACCAATACAGTATTAATACAATGAGTCATTCAAGTCACCTATAAATGCTTACCTCACCCTGAAAGGCATGTTGGAGACTACACAGTTCGTACAACACCACACCCATAGACCTATGATGCAAAACTTAATGTTACACAAAAAATGAATTAATGAATGAACTAATTAATAGGCTAATCCACATTCAGATGATACATGTAAGCTAGACACCTGGTTACCAGTTTTATCTATCTTAAGGGTAATCGCAGGATTAACATCCTACCAAAACCTAATTAGACATCATGAAGTACATGTTCATTCATACCAGATGTCAGACTTGTATTTATATCCCTCATGTTTTAGAACTTCAGGACTCATGTAGTATGGAGTACCAGTGAATGTAGTGGCAATATCTGATGTACCCATGAGAATCCTGGAGATACCCAGATCACCTGAGTAAAGAAAAAAATATGCTCATTATTACTAAAGAACATACAAAAAAGTAAACTAACTGGAATTTAAGGGTTTTACCATGGTTAAATATGCAAAAAATTTCACTATTACTGGCTTTGAATTAATACGTTTTGGCAAAAATCTAATCATGACAAAGGTCAAAAAAGATTTTTTGTCTACGTTAATGAGGTAAAGAAGCCTTTTGCATTGGCCGGCCATGTGATCAACTTTCTGTAAACATGAAAACAGTTCGCTTTTGAAAACTTTTGATAGCAGGAACTGAAAGAGTGTATTAAAATTAGGTCACCCGTAAATATTCAGCTGTGTATCTCAAAAGTAGCGATTGCAACAGCTGCCCAAAATTAGAAGGATTTGTATTGGAAAAACAACTCTTGCCACCCAGTCATGCTTAACTGGTTTTCCATACAAACCCTTGTTAAATTGGAAATTTTCAAACTGTTGTAAAATATTTCCTTAAGCCTTATGGGGCTCAAATCTTCTTTTTCTTCATGACAGGCAATTTGTGTAGTTGAATGGGTAAGGGAAAGATTTAATGACCGTTTAAAAATGAGTAAGTTTACAAGGGTTTGTATGGAAAACCACTCAAGACACTCAAGCGTGACTGGGTGGCAAGAGTAGTTTTTGTCATACAAATCCTTCTAAATTTCGTGGCCATTGCAATCACTCCTTTTGAGATATACAGCTGAAAATTCCAGGTTACTTAATTTTAATATGCTCTTCCAGTTCCCACTAACAACATTTTCCACAAGCAAACATTTTCATGTTTACTGAAAGTTGATCATGGGACTAACTATCGCCAAAGGCCTAGCTATTGGCCAGCTTAAGGAGATTAATTAAAATGCTGAAGTTTTAAGACCTAGTCAGGTGTACAATATATAACAATCGTCCTCATGAAGGTCTAGGACTCAAACATCACCTTCAGACAGGACTGTTTAATATGTTTTAGAAACTTTTTATCATCAGGCATGATCAGGACAGTTTGAAAAGGCATCTCTGGATTATATTTTGAAAATAATACATTTGAAGTCCCAATTAAAAAAAATATATTCATTAATAAAATTTTAACATTGTAGATTGATTGAGATGGATGCAAATAAAAATACATCAGGGGTGTAGCATCCTTTACGCAAATATGCACATGTGTACTTGAGAAATTGGTAGGATTTTTTTTAAAGATTTTATGTGGCTTCCCTAATACATTGCTTTTGAATAAAACAAAAAGGAAGGAGGACTGAGGAAATTCATGGAAACACATTTAAATTGATCCTGACTGATTATCATTCCTTTAAAGATTTATCTGGAAAGTTTTCCCATTCAAATTAAAGCTATTTATTTTTACTTTTCTCTCTCTCTCTATAAATGTCGCTCAAGTGGGAAATCATTGAATAGACTATGCCGACCAAAATCGAGGTATAAAGCTGAAGCAGACCATTACGTGCACGTGTGGCGCAGCATCAACAAGAATTTTGCAGGAAATTTGCACTCAACAGATGTAGAATCGTTTTCAATGAAAAGCATTAGAGATACTCACTGAAAATAAATAAATAAATAAATACTAAAACCCTGACTATAATTGTCTGTTCCATGATCAGTTTCATGATTGAAATAAAGGAAACACACAAAAGTCAGCAAAGGACTATACTTGCGGAAAATTTACACAACCACGCACAAACCGAAATTCTTCCAACCATTGCTTTTAAACTCCAAATTTCTGCACTTCAAGTGGTCATTTTTCTTGAGCAACAGTAGGTGAGCTTATCTTTCATTCCAAACATTTAGCAATAATTGCTAAATGTTTGGAATGATTGAACGAACCATTATATTTGAGTCTCTTGTAGGGGAGATGCCTTGTTCTAGAAAAATTTCTGATTCCAGTACCAGCTCAAAGAAAAACATTTTAAAAGCTTTTTTTGATATCATGTTCTATTGTAAACAAGACTGTAATCTGCCAAAAGATGTAACTATTACAGGATAACAAAAACATTATTTTGTTTCAAATATGCATGGATCCGTGCGCGTACTTGCCAAAATGGCCATGCTTTGCCCCTGACATTAATTTGTAGGAATTAATATTCTGATGGCCCAATGGAGAAGTTTTTTACAGACCATTATTTTTAAGCTCCCATAAAAGTTTTTTTTTTAATGGTCAGCCTTCATTTTTACATTATTTCTCTTTTGACATATATATTTTTATTGCTATACATTTTGTACTTTCATGCAATTATACATTTATTATGTTTCTTTCACACTAGAGGTGTTGAATTGTAAAATCCAAGACTTGCTGAGATGTGAGGACCCTTGCTTAAAACTTCAGGACTATGAGGCAGAAATAAGCATACAAACTCAAGTCTCATTTTATTGTGAAAGGTTTGAACTCAGGAGTCATTTCAAAAGTAGGTTGAGTTTGATCGTCTAGGTGAACGTAGTCCTGAATAGGACTGTTGTTGTTGACAGTGACTGACGCTTCGACAACCTGTGCGGTAGTCATCTTCACAGTCAAAGTGAGTTGTATCACCTCAGTTGATGGTATTATACTCTGGTTATTGATCTAATTGGTCAATTACGTCGCGATGTTATTGGTCGTCTGTCAGTTAAGCCGTGATGTTATTGGCTATGAAGACTCATAATCAGTAATTGGTGCGTTTCGATCCCTCTATTGTCACAGTTAAACAGTCATCTATTGTTAGTCAAATTGTCATTGTCTCGTAGTTAGTTTTGCTTGATCTCGTCAAATAAGTCGTTTGTACGACGCTGATAACTGTTGGCTACGATTCAGTGGCGTTTGTTCTAAGTTAGTAAACCAGCTTTCTAAAGTAAAACGTTGATAGTAGTCTGTAGAATATGTTATACATGTCGCAGAATCCCAGTCAATTTGATGTTTCGTCTGTAAATGGTGCTCAGCAATGTGATTGTTGACGTCACCATTCTTTGTCGCTCATTTGTGTTTGGTCAGTCGCATGCTTAGGTTTCTGCCAGTTTCAATAATACATTTCAAGATCACTGTAAAATATTCTGAGCTGACCCCACAATATTATAGGCTCCAATTGCAACCCCTGCACACTCTACACCCTTTCTTCAGGGAGGGTGATAGGAAATACTCTTGCTATTACATAATTATCATGTTACAGGTCATACTTAAATTCAGCTTAGCCCTATTAAGTTATTCATGAATTACGTCCAGGAGACAAAGGAAACCAAGTTAAAAAAAAATTAACCCATCAAATTGATATTACATGTCATTTAAGTTTCACCTGCAATATTATAAGTGGAAACTTCATTATTTATAAAATCAAGTAAAATAGCAATTAAAAATAAAGGCAGCTAAATAATTAAACAGATGCAATGGGCTTAAAGTAAAGCCCCTAAGTAACAGTGGACTTGTGGGAGATTATGGCCAATCAACTACTGCCAGGGTACATGTAACAATAAATATAGATACAGGTAGAATGTAGCTAAGAACGAAATATTTGCTATGAGGTAAAAGTGACAGTGAAGTTTTAGCCTTGTGAGTTTTATATACTAAAGAATGTTTTTTTTTTCAATCAATGACTCAGCTGACTTGGGTTTAATGTTACACGTACTTACTTATTGCTGTCAAAAAGGGAAAGAGTGGAGCTGAAGGAAGCTGTTATTTTTGTCCAACTGAAACAGGCATTTGGAAAAATTCAGTGATAGAGATGCCTATACTAGTACTAAGAAAATTTATTGAATCAACAGATTCACTTGGCTATATAAAAACAACACAGCCAGATAAACCTCACAGTATCCCAACTCTTAGGTTAACATTGTACACCACATACCTAATTTTATGAAATTATTCTTTAAAAAAATGTTCCTGAAATATATAAAAAAAAAACACTATTATTATTAAAATCATTAGCTTACCAAATAATTACACAAAAAATTAAAATTACAGTGCTATTGAAAGAGATGCTTAAAGTTCTGCAAGAAAAAAGAGCGAATCGGGCACAACAAACAAAACCACAAGCAACAACGTTAATTAGTTTGTGGTTTTGTGGTTAGTTCATGTGTCCTGATCTTTGCTGTGATGAGTTGTAACAGCTAGAATAAACATTCCTGAAAGTATTTCAGGTGTTCATGGTTTTACTTGTTTGACTGTAAGACCATAAATTCTTGGCCTTTTGCTGGACAAAATGGTAAGTCATTAAAAAGGTTCAGGCAGAGAAAAAGTGATCCAAGTAAAAGGAGACCCACACAGTTGTAGCCAGCTAACCCAGCCTTCTCAACATTAAGAAGATGAAATTGTACCATGCATGCATAAGGATCAAAGGTATGCTAGTACACTACAATTTGAACTCATGCAATATACCTGAACTGACGGTTACTGGTACATATTTAATATATACTGACAGGGTGAAAGGGCATTAATTTGTTGTCAAGGGAAGCAATCTTAAAAATTCTATATATATATCAGTGTTTTAACCCATTCGCCCCTGAACCGCCCATAACCGCCTGTGCGGATCCACGTCCTTTCTACCCTTTGTGACGTCATCAGTTTTAATGGTCAACGACAACTTTGTCCACTTACTTATGCAGAGTGAAGAGATCTTTCAAACTATACCAGAATGAGCACAATTCAGTCAAGGACACCAGAGAAAGAAGCAAAAAACCATGTGAGATTGACCTCAAAATCTCCATGAAAATCTTGTTCCATTGCCACCTACCTTTCCTTTCACCTAATCCTAAGATCCTAAAAGCTTTCCCAAAAACTCTTCCCACCAAAACGAAGCCTACTAAATGCCCAGCAAGAGAAAAAAAAATGAGGCAAGAAAAGCAAAAAAAGAGGGGAGGAGAGAAAGCGAAAAGTAAAAGTCAAGACTGCTGTGTCACTTTTAAACCCAAAAACTATCTCGTAATTTTGCTTTCTGCCCGAACTTCGCAAGCTCATATTTTGCATCTGGATCAGAAGGCCGCGAAGTGTACGACCTGTAAACTGGTTTGTGGTAAGTTTTAACTCTTTATAGCACGACAGTGATCAGAAAACCACTCGACTAGCTTCAAAACGCATTTTTCGGCAAAATCTCCAGGAGCGAATGGGTTAATTCACCTATTTCAAATTCAGTCTATCTCAACCCCACATTCTCACTCCAAACCAAGCTGATCTCACTTCCCACTCCACGAACGCCTTGTAAAGGAAATCTACCAAACATTTTTTGGTGATTTGAGGCAGATCAGTTCTACCCTTGCCTACTAGTAATATAAAGTAGTAAATATCACATTATCCACTCCCCTAAGGGCTTTTCGGGGATAGTTTATAACACTGGTTGGGTGCAGGTGCAGTTTACAAGTAGTGAAGGAATGAGTAATGATGCCCCCATACATGAGTGTGAAAGTGAGATAGACCACTACACAGGGCACTATGTGCCCTACTTTTTCCCAAGAATGTGTGGGTTCTTTAACGTTCCACAGATTTTTTATTATGTGTGCAAGGGCTTGAAAGACGGGGCCTACAGTTTATCGACCTTATCCGAGAAGACTAGAAAGTCAAACTGTTTGCAGATGTTATTACGAAGGCAGCACTTTCTCCTCAGTTATTTAAAGACCCTGAGGGTTGGTCCAGGCCGGGGTTTGAACCCACAGCCTCCCACTCAGCAGACTGGCGCTTATCCCATTGAGCTAACTGGGCGGCGGTTACTACTCTGAGAGGCAGGTTTCAAAGAAATCAAACACAGCGTCTACATCAAGCTTACCTTGTCTTTAAGTCTCTATGTAAGATTCTCCTGAAAACAAACAAACATCTACCTTTAAAGTACACTTCCAGTAGAGAATATACTTAATATCCTTCTTGCAGGGTCTAAGGTGTCACATTCTTTATACATGATTGTGTTATCTGTTTAACAGAAATTAATAGAAATCAACTACAGTGGAAGCTGACTCTTAACAGACACTCTTGTCAGTGGACAGCTCTTCTTATGGCTACCTTCACAAAACCCTGTTTCAACTCCAATACAAACTCTGTATTTTTACATTCCTGTAAGCGGATATTTATTAAAGGCATCTACAGACACTTTCAGGGACTACCAGTTAGATTTTAGTTTGTTTTTACGCTCCTGTGAGCAGACACCTGAAGTCTCATTCCCCTCTAAATCTTGTATTTTAATACATCAACTTCCTAAAATGTGTCTCTGTCAAAATAAATTTACCTCACTTTCAGAGTTGTTGTGAGCCACAGGTCCACCAGCAGCAGGAAAGTGCTTGTAGGTTGACACATCAAGTTTGTTAACAATAAAAAGGTACTCACATAGTTTATTTATCTAGTAAGAAACTGATGGTGCAAATATACTGAATAAAAGCACAGATGTAATCTTACTTTTCATGCATGAACTTAACAGCTAAAACCAATTGAATAAACCAAGCCAAAATCAGTGATTCATCAAAACTCTTGCCAGCTTTCTTCCAAGCCTTGATTTTGTCATCCAAATCACCACCCTTCAGTTTAGAACAGAAAAACAAACATTTTTAAGTAACCAGTATATAAAAAATTACTAACGTCCTGTACATGATAAGCTAAAATAATTAAGTTGAGTCATTAAAATGTGGTTATTATACATAAATTACATACACGTGTGCAAGGTAATAAATTAAACTTTCTCTGGTGTAGGAGCAATTTCATAATGCCTCCAATAGCCAGACAGTGAACAGAGAACGGAATGTCTTAAGCTTCAAAACATGTTTTTCAGCAAAATTTCCAAGCACCTAGTTTCCTGGGAAAATCCAGATTTGAGAATAACAAAAAAAATCTGGTCATGAAATGCCAAATTACACTACTAGGAGTATGTATGTGAAACACCATGTGAAAAACGTGTGAAAAATGTCCTATTTTCACACTCTTTTCACACATTTTTCACACGTTTTTCACACACTTTTCACATGCATTTCACACACATATTTCACGTGCATGTGAAATTTTGCATAGTGAAATATATGTGAAAAGGGTGTGAAGCGACGTCATCCCTTTCACACATATTTTCACATACACTTCACATGGGGTTTCACACAGGCTTTCACATGTGAATCCTCATTTAAATTCACACATATTTTTATACACTTCACATGGGGTTTCACATGGGCTTTCACATGTACTTAATCCTCAATGAATGGCAAAACATCTAGAATTTCACATGCTACTAATTCACACATTATTTTCACATACACTTCACATGGGGTTTCACATGAGCTTTCACATGTAAATCCTCAGAGATCGGAGATCATGAATGGCAATAGAATTTGACTACCCTGCGAGCAGAGGTTTGTTTACACGTAAACAAACCAACTACGCGACAGACAAGCCACCCAAACGACTTCATAAACGCTAAAAGCCATGCAAGAGAGAAAACTCCGCTTGCAGGGTAGAATTTCCCATACCACTTCACACAAATTGGGTATGTTGTTTCACAAGCAAATATTCAGTAAATCAACTAGCTTATATTAGATCAATTAACACACAAATTTACATTTGCACTTTCCGCTTGCAATAAATTTGTCTGAAGTACTGTCAACTGCATCCATGGTTGTGTGTTCATATAGTCACAAACAACTTCAGGTTTATAGCCTGATCTGTTGGTTTATTTATAATTTTACGGTATTTTCAGAAGAACTTGATTTATATAAAACTGGCAAAAAGTGAAAAGCAAACTGGATAGGATTGATTGGCAAAGGAAATTGGTTTCATATTATCAACACGGTGAAACTCAGTTCAACTGACTCACATGTCCCAAAATGAACTTAAATGTAACTTTAAGTTACTCAAAAAGGCACATAAGGCTAATGGAAACATCAATGTCTAATCCTGTTTATTTGTCAATATTTATTGCCTGGAGGATAATAATAAAAACAAAACTTTCTATCACGCTCAGTTTTTATACCTTTAATTCCTACATCAATAAAATAACTAATAACATACTAATTTTTGGTTAGAAATATTTCTTATAAATTGTAATAATTATGATAGTAAATGACATAGTGGCCAATTTACAATTTCCACTTATTAAGGAATACCAAGTTACAGAAAAGCAATCTAGCACTCAATGTCAGTGAAAAGACAAAGTAAATAAACAACTTTGAAAAATACAAGCATGTTTATGGAAAAAAATAATGCTAACTGACTGCTTCTTTCAAAGTGGCTGAACAGCTTTCTGAACTGAAGGTCCACACATCAGACTAGATGGAGCTGCCTTCTATTTTTGACCTTATTGCAGATGTATGAATATTATGAATCGAAGCTCAAATAAACAAACCTACTCAAATTTTATAGGTTTAGTTCAACTCTCAAGTCATTGTAAATTAACTGGAAACTTAATTGCTTCCAACTTGTCGTATACATTGCATGCATATCGGAAACTTATGTTATTTCTTCTCCTATTTTATTTAACATTGGTCTTGACAAGTCTGCCACAGCCTACTAGCGCCAGAACATAAAATTTTCAGAGTATTCCATTGACGATTTGCAACAAAGAGTACAGTTTTTTCTGCAGTAAACAAAAAGGAATCAATCAATGGCATATCTGTGCATGCATCTTAAATCAAGATGTATCTTTGAAGGTTTAAGCTTACGCAAAGTTATTAGAAAACCAAAGTAAGCTCTTGTTAAACGAACCACGATATCAAGAAGAACATACCTTTCTGCAATAATCCAGCTGAGTTGCTGACTTGGAAACATGCTTTTTGTGAAGAATTTTCCAATTGATCACTGTCTCTCGAAAATAACATGGGTATTATTGAAAGACTCTCTTTCTATCTACCCGAAAGTAACGAAAATATTCTGTTTGCATCGCTGTGTTGCTTGTGAAGTCCGCGTGAATTTGAACTATTCAACGGAACTTCATTTTACAATTTTCTATTGGTTGAAAAGCCGCACGTGACATTGTAAATCAAATCGCGCATGTGCTAAAATCACGGGGAAGCCTGGGAAACAACAAACATGGCGGCTAATCTTGCGATGGAGAAAGTGCACTCGTTTGAGTCGAAAAAGCGGTTATTTTCAGCATTGATTAGAATATTCCAGTGCATTTGAAGTGTTAGAAGCAAGAGAAAAACTTAACATTGTTCCTTCAAGTTGGGAAACCTTTGAGAATTTAAGGAAATGCTGGCCTTCACTACATGAATCTAAGTTGCGACTAAATACGTGTTGTGGACGTTGTTCATGTTGGATAAGCTCAGGTACGGAAAGCTGATTGAACCAAAGGCAACATGAGCAAACCAAGAGCATGCCAGTTGTTTTCTTCAAGGAATCATTAGTTGAACGAACGGTATCAAAAGAAAACTCAAAAAGCATGCAAAGCAAGGAACTGTTCGCATGTTCAAGTGGACTTTCAACGTTACAACGAGGAACGTTACAGTAAGAAACAAAACATTCATAAAGTGTAGTTACATATGTCGTATATGTTAGCAAAGTAAGTTTTCTGATGGAGTAATAAAATTAAGTCCGTTTTGTCCTCAATGAAGATCTGTTGAAAGAATGGTTTAATTCTCAGGATTTAGCCCTCCCCACTTAACAAAAATCATGGTACACATCTTTCTGGGTGGAAACTCAAGTGGTAAGATACACAACCCACAAATTTAGATGAGACAGTTGATAATATACGTAAATTTATTTAGCATGTTCTAGCAAACAATGAAGACAATGATATTTGTAAAGATGCACATGTGGATCGGATACTCGAAAGGTTTTAATCAAGCCAAATATAATGAAGAATGTGCAGTGTATTCGGGGGTTTCAAAATGTTTCGAAGTAGGCGCCAACTCTGGAAAAGCAGGCGGCTGTGACAATCGAGATTGTTTGTCACAAGCTAATTGTTATGACCAGCGCAGCCAGTGATATACAGTCGAGTAGCCGGCAAAACTCTAGTCTCCGGCTTGTTTTGAAACCCCTGTGTATTTAATAATAATTAATACAGTTATTGACTGAGAGATCTGGTTGCAAGCTAGATCATGGCAAGAGCTCTGAACGTTAATTCCAGTCCGATGCTTTACAAGAGGGCCCTTCTGGGGCTTGGCACTTTGGTATATTGGGGTTCGCCTTTAATGTTGATGATGATGATGATTTGTAACAGCACATTTGTTGTGATCACTTGCCTTAAAGGTCTGACGCATTAAAGTATAGTGAATTTTCTAGGTTAGTAACTTATCAAATCTTATTCTTCAAAAATTCATGACCCTCATAGTCAACTTAGTTTGATATTTATCAGCTATGAGCCGTAGAATGCTAGATGTGGCATGGCATGAAATTTAATTTTGCAGTTTTTCTGAGCCATGAAATGCCTTTCATGGGGTATTCACTAGAAATTCATGGCATTTTCATAAAAATATGGTTCATAGTGGTTGCATTTAACAAGCTCTGAAAAAAATTCACATGCTCACTCTGACATGCCTAAAAGTGTTCACATGCATAGCATCTATTATGCTTGTGAAATTTGAAGTTCACATGCATGACAAAATTGTTTCACATGTATGAAAAGATTTCACATGTAATAAAATGCATGGAAAAAAAGTTCACACATATGACAAAAATTTTTCACATGTATTACAAAATTTCACATGCACATCAAAAAGTTCACATGCATGTGAAATGCTGATGTGGTGAACTTGTATTTTTCCCAACATTGATTTCACATGGTTCCTTTTTTTCACACACTTTTCACACCCTTTTCACACGATTTTCACACACATAGCCCTAGTAGTGTTATCAAGTGAAACAATCAGCAAAAGAAGAATTTTAGCTGCTTTGATTAACCTATTTGCCCCTGCACCACCGCACCCTTATGAGGATCCATGTCCTTGAGTCACCTCTGAATTCATCAGTTTTAATGGTCAGGGACAACTTTGTCATCCAACTACAGGGGGAAGAAGTCTTTTAACATACCAGAATAAGCATGATTCAGTCAAGGAGGCTGAAGGAAGAAGGCACAAAAACCTTGTAAAGTTGACCCAAAAATTCCACCTAATCCTATGATCCTTCCTTTTTCCCACTGAAATGAAGCTTTATAAATGCTTGCGAAAGAAAAAAAAAGGGGCCACAAAATTGAAAGAGAGAAAGTGAAAGGTAAAAGTCAAGACTTCTTTCTCTAAATTTTGCTTTCTGTGCATGCTTGAACCATACTTCGGAAACTGATATTATGCTTCTGGAACAGAAGGCCACTAGGTGATAGACCTATAAACAGAATTTGGGCAGTTTCTGCTTCTTTATAGACAGTCATTTTTCTGCAAAATTCCCTGAAGTCAATAGGTTTATAGAGAGGGGTAATTCTTGAAAAAAAAAGGGAAGAGAAAGTAAAACAACCTCTCACAGTAGAGTTTGCTCAGTTTTAGCCAAACTAGAGAGGCAAAAATGCCACTTACCTCACAATACTCAGTAACTATACAAAATGATTCTCCATCAATGAAACTATCAAAGAACTTGACAATGTTAGGGTGATTTAGCTGAAAAAATACAGAGCATATGTTGTTTAAAAACTGTTGCCAGATAAAGGTTTGCAACAGACAATATCATTCTATACAGTGTACATGTAGATACTTGTATTTCAAATGAACTACTTAGCATTACAAAGAGGGTAAATTACCCACATAATTATTTGGAAGTTTTGGTTTAGAAAAAATAAAAATGTTATTGTTTACATTAATATAACATTAATAAAATGACTGCAGTTATTAATAACAAAATTTATGCTAAGTTAACCACTTAAATTTTATTTTCCTTTGTTTCAAACTCATTATCATACATTACTATATACCAAAACAAAAGAAAATAAAATTTAAACTAAGGACAAAATTGAACCACAACATATATGTACAAAAGATTGATGATCATAAGTCTTTCGCCAGGGTTGTTTATCCAGGAGGCTAGGTTACTGTGAGTATCAAGGAAACATGCCAGCCAGTTAATGGGCCATTCTGCATGGTTTTGCATGGCACATCTGAGATTGCTGCTGACTAAGAATGCACAGAGGTCAGACGCATACGTTGTCCAAGATAACCTTGGTTTTGGATCAGATTTTGGTAGATTAAAATAGTTATTGTTTGCAAGGATTTTCTTTATATGGCAGTTCAGTGACTGAAGGTTGAAATTAGGGGGATGATCAAAAGTCTCAGTTCCATCGGCTGGTCACATACATAATATTTTTAAAAGTGTGTTTGGCTCATTAAAGTGATTACTCAAGGATTTTAGAGAAAGACGCATCACCCATCAGAGATAAAACACTATAAAAATAACACATACCGTGGACAACAACTTAGCTTCTCTCATTGCATCAACTGTTTCATCTGGCTGCAGTTCGCCAACAAAGATTTCCTTTAAAACTTTCCTAAATACAACAGCCCATAACAAGTTAACAATCATGTGAATGGTAAATATTATCAAGGTTACCTAATTTCTACTATCAATGAAACTTGAGGAGAGATAAACTAACTCAATCTTCCTTAAAAATACCAAATAGTTACACGGTCATTTGTGATTTATGACGACAAAAAAGTGAAATTTGCATTTTATAACATACAGAAAACAATTAGTGAGGCAAAACATAAAAGACAAAACCTTCCCTTAAGTCTTCCTTCAAAGTAACTTCTACCACTGCATAAATACATAAGAAAGGTTTTTGAATGTGAAAATCAAGAGGCCATGAAAGTGAAGTACAGCTCATGAAGGTAAAAGTCTGTGGTCAATTTGACTTAATACTAGCCTAATTTGACCATGCAGTTTTTTGGGATCCAATATGTCACATCACATGTTTGTGGTCAAAAGCTGATGATTGAGCCCCCCAAAGTTAAGCAACAATAACAATGGCTGCGACCACACCTAGCAAGTTAACCAGGTTATTTTTAAAAATGTATATATTAATATATTTATATTTTTCAAAATGTACCCTTGGTTTAAACAAATTTAACTAACATTAACTTTTACAAGCAGCCAGACTCAAATGTGTTTATGGACGGTGCCCACTAATGGGAAGTATTTTTTCCCAGATAATGACTATATGAGACAGGTAGATCATATCGGGGGCTATTGAAATCCACAAAGAAAACTGGGGGTAACCATGCATTTTTCAGAGATAACTGTGTTTCAATATGCAGAAAAATGCTGAATGGGCATTTTTGAAAAAAATGATAAAAAGTTATTTTTTCCCCAAATTTCAGAGTGTACACATGAACTGGCACAAATGCAATGATAATTGTAACAAGGTTTCAAAATAAGCAACAAATGATAACATAACAACTGCTCTTTATACGTCTTTTTTTGAAATGTCAGCACAACTGGAAAGTTTTCAGCAGTTACCCCTCTCCACGCGTTTGCCTCAAAAATAGTTTAAACGACATTTTCCCCAAACCAATCGTTTGCTAAAGAGGCTTATTACTTTCATTTGGTAAGATAAAGACGTGTTTTAAGAAGTTAAATTGGTTGGTTTCGACCTTAACTTAATCGCTTTGGGGGTTATTTACAATTTTCCCCATCCCCTCCCTGGTCAGTTTCACTATTGCTTCACTCAACGCGGAGTACTCTGGGATATCCACAATGGCTAACAGTTAGAGAAAACAACAACACGCGGAGGAGAGCAAAAACAGAAAGTGAAGCAGGACATTTCATGGACTCTAAGGAAAACAAATTATACTATTTCATTCAACTGGAGCTTCTCCGTCTCAAAACATTTAACAAAGATTTTTGGAGAAGAGCAATCTCCAAGGTATTAGAGATTACTTGCAGTGCACATAGAGTAGTATGGCGAGCTCAAGATCCACGGCTGGTGTTGTAAACAAACTACTGTACTGTAGTGGAAAATAGTCGACAGGGACTCTAAGACAGGTATTCCTTCAATCGTTTGCTTACTTGTACATGTCCTCAAGATTTTTTTAACTGTAGATGTAACATGGATTGTAAACCTTCTATTGTCTTTTTTTTATCATTTTACCGGGTACCTCGGTCGAATATGTTATTAAACTTGCATACATTCAATGAGCTTATATCTATGCTTTGCGCTATCTCTTTCGGGCTTTGCCACACGTGTCATATGACATAAATGATTTGCATTGACTCAAGTTCCATACATGAGCTCTCTTTTCAAAAAGCTGAATAGTGTGAAAGTAGTTGTACAGAATGCGTCTATGTACCCTTATATATGCACTGGGCTATAATGATCATTTTATATATTTCGTTTTGATTTTTTTTTCTGTAGCATTCTGGGTCATGATCATTCACTATTTTTGTTTCTAAATATTAATATAGACTTAACGGTGTCTGTTAAACCTAACAAAGCCTTAGAGTGGAAATACTTTATTTTACCTTCCATCTTTAGTTTTGTAAACAGCCAAATGGCAGCTATGTCTAAAATGTCCAGATGATGTGTGGCCTGAAATTGAACATTAAGAAATACTATCTACATGACAAACTGCCAATAAGTCAATATTTTCAATGCTTAGTAACGCCAAATTGCCTAAATAACAATGATAATAGTAAACATAGGCACGTTAAATGTGCACAAGCTATTTTGAATGCTTCAGTGTAACTATAATACTTCGGTGTAACCTTACCAAGAGTGATGAATCTACCTTTTTCATCCTAAATGTAGATTTGGTTTTTGTGCGAAATTGGGTATTGCGCTACATAAATGAAAACGCGAAACGCTCAGCTGAGTCGATCCTCGACCTATATATTCACTTTCCTCTGTCTTTCCCTGTTACACCTGGTGCAAGTTAAACAAATTGTTAAAGTAAAATAAATTTCTTCTCACCAAACGTTGATTAGAAGGAAAACTCTAAGGTTTCCTCGGAGTTTCTTAAGCCAAAATGTGACACATCGAAGACTGAATAGTTACGAAATACCAGGATTTTTATCATTGAGGTAGATGGTTGCATCATCATAATTCACGAGGTTTTCACGTGCGATTCTACTCAGTGAAACAGTCTTTAACTCCGACAACTTATTTCTTCATGTTTTAAAAGCTATTGCTTCTTAAAAGAAAGGGCCTTTTTTAAGGCATTGGTTACAAAACGAAACAGGTCTTCATACGTTCAAGTTACTATTTATCATTGTGAAAAGCCAATCTGCATGAGATGTACAGTCACACATCTGGTATGTGAAAGTGTTGGACTTTGCCCCCTTTCGTGGTTCGCTCGTGAGGGAATTCAAGTTATCACACAGTAACTAGTAAACAGAATTATAAAAATAACTCTTGCACACAATTTGCGCGTGAAGATGTTAGTCTTTGGCCCTTTTACAATTTGTACGTAAAAAAAAAGGCAAATAATTGTTTACTACAGAATTTTCTCAAGCGATTTTAAGAAATCACCTCGGCTTCATTACAACATCTGCAATTAAATTATGTTTCATGCAACGTCGAGGTTGATAACCTAACATTTATTAACATTTGTGAGACAGTCTTTAACTCCAGCAACTTATTTCTTCATGTTTTAAAAGCTATTGCTTCTTAAAAGACAAGAGCCTTTTTTAGGGCATTGGTTACTAAACGAAACACGTCTTCATACGTCCAAGTTACTATTATTATTGTGAAAAGCCAATCTGCATGAGACGTACATACAGTCACACAGCTGGCACGTGAAAGTGTTGGACTTTGCCCCCTTTCGTGGTTCGTATGTGAGGGAATTCGAGTTATCACACAGTAATCTAGTAAACAGAATTATAAAAATAACTCATGCACACAATTGGCATGTGAGGATGTTGGTCTTTGGCCCTTTTACAATTCGTACGCAAAAAAAAGGGCAAATTGTTTTACTACAAAATTTTCTCAATCGATTTTAAGAAATCACCTCGGCTTTATTACAACATCTGCAATTAAATTATGTTTCATGCAATGTCAAGGTTGATAGCCTAACATCTATTAACTTCCAAGAAAATTATCAAACTGCCGAAATATATTTCTACTTGTATCATGTTACTCCACTCAATACAACAGTATCTAATTATTGTGTCAACTAGCTTCTTCCAATTTTATTCCCTAACGCTACCGTTTCTACTTAAGTTACACATCTTTACTAAATAAAATACGTTTCAGAGACTATAATATTAGTATGCAGGAAGGATGTATCATGTTGTTCACTTATTATTCTTTTTATGTTGTTTTGCCAGAACGAAAAAAGCTTGTTTACAGGATTAACAATACTCGGTACAGCTTTCACAAAAATAAGCTGCCTTTTTAAACTTCTAAAACCACATTTTATAGGGCGCATACTTTTGAATTAAAGTCTATATCTAAATATCAATTATTGCTTCATTGGAAGAGCTTTGAAAATATATGATCTTTTATACTCTACCCAGTTGTAGCAGGTGAAACAGAACTCATACTGACGTGCGTTGTACCGATAGCCGAATGATGTCAGAAATGCCTTGAAGCAGCATCCATACTAAAATATGAACCCTTAAACAGCTGCATCACTGTACACAGCGTTTGAATCATGAAGATATTCAATGTAATTCTTCCAAACACCCGTAGCCGTAATAAAAGACAAAAAAATTGTGAAGAATCAAGATGGCGGTCTCAAAGTGCCCTTGTTCGACCTTTACCAATGCCATGTTTAAATAGATGCCATAATCTCATTGGTTCCTAAGCATCAACTCATAGTACCTTCAACCTTATTCGCTCTTGCAACAAACATCCCAACATACAAAGATACAAAGCCACAAAGATACATACGCTCACACCACTGACATATGAGCTATTTTTTCAAAATAGCTCAAAAAGCATAAAAATGTTTTTTATTTTTTCCACACTGAAAGTGTTTCCTTTGCGGTCCGCAACTATTTGTGAAGCTGCAATCTCAGCAATCCAAACAATCTTGTGATAGTTTTTTCTTGTTTGTTCAACAAATAAAAGCCGCCAACTCTCAATAAAAGGTACATCTGTATGTACTCAAACACTTTAAATCTATCTTCTGGTGAATAATTACATAAAATCTTACAAAATTAAAGAAATATTCGGGAAAGTGTTTATAGCCGATTAGCCGATAAAACGCGAAGGACACGAGTGAAAGGTAAGCTTGCAGTTTCTCGATTAAGCGGAGGACTTAGAGCTATTTTCCTTCTGATTTACTGATCCTTGCCTATTAAGGGTTTTTTAAAACCCAAGCTCCAAGTGTAACATCTTGACGCAATAATTTTTGATGTTTTAGAATTGACTTTTGTTTGAAATGTTCGGTCAGATCGATCATACATAGAAATAGCAACACGTGCATACTTCTTCGGTTTTCAATGAACTGACAAGGTAAATAGAAATGATTTTTCATCTGTTGAAAAACGACACATCTTTTCCACAAAAAATAACTCAAACCTCCCAGACTTCCAGGAGACAAAACCAGTCCGTGTGTCCTGCGTGTTGCACATTTCTTTCGCGTCGCGCTCGACTACCTTGGCATGCGCAGAAAATTTGCGCAGTGACAATAGTGGGCACCGTCCTTAAAGGAAAAAAAGCTGAATTTGAGAATGACAGAACAAAGTATTTTTCAAAAATGTAGTGCTTACTATAAATATGATAAAGCCTAATTTTGGAAAATTGTCATGTAGAGGCAGGGATGATCAATTGATTGATAGTATTAACCTGCACTAAACAACCCTTTAGGTGGTTGAAATAAACCTAACCAAGTTATAAAAATCTATTGTTCTTGCATGATTTGCATAACTGCTTAAAACTCATTTAAGAACCAAAATACATGGCTGCAATCACATTTTACTTAAATCAGTCAATTTAATAATTAATATTATAACTAGGAAATAACTCACTTGAGCCCCCTAGAGCAGCTGCAGCTGGAGATAAAAAAAATACCATAGGCTGGCGCTTATAAACCCCGTCACTTACATGTATAAGCCCCTCCCCACCCCCCGAGTTATAGGCCCATCCAGCTGTAAACAAAAGTCTTCCCAGATATAAGCTTCCTTCTAGCTGGTATCAAAATGAATTTGATTTATTATGAGCCCTCCAAAGGACCCTCACTACCAGAGCTTATAAGCAGCAGTTTATGATATTCTATCAAGTGGGAATAGGACAATCATGTGACTTTTGTCAGGCATATAATTTATTTGTGACATAAGTAGCATCATTTACGCTCAAACGTTGTGGGGGTGCAAATGATGCTATGAGGGACACAAATAAACTATATGCCTGACAAAAGTCATGTTATTATCATTATTATCAATACACAAGGCCAAATCGCACAAATTTATTTCATAAGGAAAGATTGTTTAAGAGGAAATCATGTTGTAGGTTGCAAATTCCATTTACAGCCTGCTCTTTGCCATTTGGCCCGCAAAAAGGAGCATTTTAGAGGGGGCATTTTGTTAGTTGGCCACGTGTAGTGATAATAATGATACTTAACTCAGGCCGAACATTTATATTGTGTACATTATTTAAATATAATTGGTGCATCTGATTGTGGGAGGTTTAACTTAATCAATAGCAAAGCCTCTAAACAACAAGACAGTGACTGTCTCCCCGAGATTGTCTTGTGTTTTCAGATTTCTAATCAAGAAGCAAAACAGTCTGAACAACTTTTGACATTAAGCTACCCCAGCAGAGGGTTCAATTGTCATAAAATTAAATTTCATATTTCTAGCACATATAAAAAGAAACGTCTATGGTAATACGAAAACAAAAGCCTATAAGTGCAGCATTTGCAGCTTTCCAAAGAAGGAATATCATAAGCCAGACAGATGCCTGGAGGCGAGCCCGGGAAGATGGGAATACTTGGAATAGACGGAACCATAATTCACTCACTTTGCAGGATCAAATATTGCAGAACCTCTAACAGGAGTTGCCCTGGTCTACCAGAGGTAGGGTGATACACTTACACTACTTCACAGGGGGTGGGAGTTGTGTCAAGGCTCGTGCCTAGCTGCTGGGAAGCCAACAAACCTTCGTTTGAAGGCAACAGCCTCGATCATGGACAACAACTCACCATTCGCCTTTACTCATCGTATCTTCCACCAGAAAAACGGTTCCAAAGCTGCCGCTACCAAGTCGTTTCTCTACCCGGTAACGATTTGCAAATACACGGCCAGTATGTTGACTTCTGGCCTTTCCACCGCGAGGAATCTTTGTTGGTAGCGGCATTGTTCCTCAATATGCAGTGTATAATGCAAGCTATTTAGGAAGAACCATGGACTGCAACTGAACGACGTTGCTATATAGAAGATTTCATTTTAAGTTTTTGGTCATTCACCGAATAGATGGCTCGAAAACCAGTCAAATCCGTGCAGCGTTGTCTAATTTTTGGAGCGTCTTGTTGTGTATAGAGGTTTCCCCCAGGGCACAACCGAGCACAAAAACCTGGGAACGAGAGTTCTAGTAAGTTCTAGTATAATTCTAGTATTGCATTATGGGATAAATTGAGGGATCGGCGAAAGGAAGGAAGGCAATATGTCGAAGCATTCTCAAACGCCTCGTAAATTAAAAATTGGGAGTGGATCAGTGGTTTGTCAGGAGGCTGAAATAAAAGGTGAGGTGACAATAGGTTCTCGGACAGTTATTCACCCTAAAGCACGAATTATAGCCGAAGCTGGACCGATAATAATTGGAGACAACAATCTGATCGAAGAACAAGCATCAATAATAAACTCGTATTATCTCGACGACGATGATGCACAACAAGGAGAAAAGATTGTCATGAGAATTGGAAACCATAACGTGTTTGAAGTTGGGAGTCAATGTGAAGCGGTCAAAGTGGGAGACAACAATATCCTTGAAGCAAAAAGTAAGATTGGCCGCTACACGGGTATTTCCCACGGTTGTGTTATAGGAGCCAAGTGCGAAGTTACTTCGCAAGAGACATTGCTCGAGAATACAGTCATCTATGGACAGAGCTGTAGTAGGAGAGTACAAGGGGAGAGACCAGTGCCACAAACACTGCAACTTGATTTCCTTACCAAGATCTTACCCAATTATCATCACCTTAAGAAATCCAGTCGATCATAGACATGTGAGATGTGAATCAGTAAACTATTTATTTTAATTTTCTATACATTTAATGTAATAATCAGGGTCATTTGTTATGATACTATAGTCATAAATTTTCTGGCTCATGGGACAAAGAAACAATGTGTGGGCAAAAAATTTGCCGAGGAATGCATGGGCGAAGTACTGGATGGGGATGAGGGGCCTCAAGTGCACTGCACCATGTCGAAGGGGTGCCTTATGCCTATGCTACAAGATGGGATTGGAGTCTGGCTTAGAGACTGCTTTGGGTCCACTCTTATTTGTATTGTGGTGTCCACACAACCAACTGACAACTGGTACTAATAGTAGTAATATAGAAAGTGAACATTATCATGATTATGAATATTATTATGATTCTTACATATCTTTCAAAACAACAGTAAGAAAGTAAAATCTGTTGCAAGCAAGAAACTTGAATATTAAAATGTGCTGTTTTACATCTCCATTAGCCCTCCGTGCAAATCTATATGTTCCTCTGGCTGAAAGGGACAATACAGAGAGAAGGTTAAATCCCCTCAGCCATTTAGTTTGGGTTACATAGCTGCTTATGTATTCACTTGAATGATCTCTGCTTGATCTGTCCACCCCCATCCTGAATAGTCACCATGCTTAAGAATGTTTTTAACCTGCCCCCACCCCCCACTCCCTAGAAGAAACACACCCATAAAGGCAATGTAACACATTTTGATGTTCATTTTCCTTTAACATTTTGTTACCTTTGTTAAATTTCTTTTCTGCTATTATAAATATGGACTTCAACTTCAAGCTCAGTGTCCTGTTTTTGGCTTTCCAAATTATGACCAACTCTGATAATCTTTTTCAGGTGTTAAAACTTTCTCCTGCATTTCAAATATGTGGAATTGCATCATATTCACTTCTCAGGGGGACTACACAACCTCAGTGACCGTTGTGATGTTTGAATTTTAAACGGGAATGTATGGGAATATAACAAAGTTTATATTATCATAATATATACTTTATTATCTTCCCATACATTTCCTTTTTAAATCCAAACACAATGGTCACTCAGTTTGTGTGGGCTCCCTGTGATTCACTTTCGTTACTTTCATTTCAATGGCATAGTTACAGTCTCTAAAAAAAATGTAACCGAAAATGATAACTTTGTGGAGAAATTATTTATTTTAAAAAGAACAATATTACCTGTGAACTTTTTCCCCAGTTGAAGGTAGCAAGTACCTTTGTCGTTGTTGTTAAAACAACCGTTAATAAGGGAGACTGACAAGTTAGAAACAGACTAGCCACTATTGAATTTGGTGAAAAAGGCACTTTGAGCATCACCATTCAAGATGGGCCCATCTTACCCGCTCGGGATTTCTTTTTTCCACCTTAGTCCTGCACTCAGAAAAAGCTCTGTCTTTGGCCTTAAATATATATCCTTTATTAAACAAGAAAGAACACATACCCCTGTTTTTTTCTTTTTGTTTGTTTGTTTGTTTGTTTGTTTGTTTATATAGAGATAATTTATTCAAGAGTCGTTCTCAAAAGTGTGCCCCCGTGAAGAGTAGCGAAATTTATTGAGCTCCGATCCTCGGGTATCTACTAGAGCACAGAGGTCATGGTTAGTTATGGAGACAATAATGAGTATTGGACGCCACTCACAGAATGCATTTCCTTGAAGGTTTTGATTCACGTTTTCAGCCACATCTCAAGGCCTTGAACGCGACATAACCGAAAACAACGTCTGCGTTGGCCACGAAATAGGACAATTGCACGATGACGTCATTTTAATACAACTACCAGAATCCTTGAGTTTGTTGTTTTCTTGTGCAAATTAAGGCTATTGTTCTTTAATCCTCAGCGGGATTGACAAATTTAAATAAGAAAGCAAAACCGAATTGAATTCTGGTAGTTGTAGTCAAATGTCGTCGTCGTGCAATTGTCCTATTGAGGGCCTAACATACGGTTGGCAGGATGCAGGATATTTTTTTTTAGCTGCTGGCATAGGAGATGGTTAGGAGTGGGCGGGAAGAGGGAAGTTCGTCATTCTCATGGCGGGACGTGGGAATGCTTCAATTTTTTTGGACTCTTATCCTGAAAATGGTGGCGATCTGACGGAAAGATTGAAATGTTCAATGGTGATGGGCGGATTTGCAGGTAACTAACGGAATTGCGTCAAAGTGCTATATTCAACCAACTGATTTCTTTCTGTTGCGCGCAAAAAACTTAGGTTGCATTAAGATTTTCACAACACTTAAAACATGGCCCGATTTGTTTCAGCTGTTTGTGCTCTTTTAGTTCTGCTTTTTCTTTTCATGAAAAGTACGAAGAATTCAGTCATTGCAATCTAACAACAGATATTTTGAGCCTGAGTTGGTGACTGTTTCCATGTTTTGGAAGGGAATGTATCTTCCATCAGAAACATGGAGTGCGCTCTGTCACAAACTTTGAATGGTCCTCATGGAAGTGTTGCCGCAAAACCAATGGACTCGGTACAGCTGCTACGATGTGGATTGGAAAACCTCCAGGAAAACCTCGAAAAATTTCCTCGGCTTGATGTGGAGGATCTACAAGTTTCTGTACATCATCGCAAGAGCCAGGTCAGTCAACATTGTGTTGAAATGTGCTCAAAAGTTTAGAAAACCCGAGGCTTAAAAGGAGCTAAAACGATCAACTTCCTGGTCGAGGCATCGCCGGCTACTTTATAACGGTCACTCGGTCTCTTCACCTCTTCGATATCCCTCTGATGGAACAACCTTCTCTAAGTAGAGTAACTTAAGAAGAAATGATGATGACGGATGCAAGAGCGGGTTAAGGCGTATAGCGCCTCTGACCTCTGTACAACAGAGAAGCGTAACTCAATAAGGAAGAAACAATGTAATGATATTTAGTAAACGGCAGGACCATCTGTAAGGTGCCAGTGAGTGAAAAGATCATACAGATTCTTCCACGGCAGAACAAGTCACAACGGGACTCAAGCGTTAAAGAGGTCCAGTCCGTTGTCATTGGCTCTGCCGTGGAATAATCCGGCGGTATGACCTTTCAATCACCAGATGAACCTAACAGTATAGAGGAAGATGTACGACGCCAATTCGACAAAAGTGAAGAGAAAGAAGCGCCTGAAGAAAATCTTCCCGCAGCGCAGAAGAAAGCGAAAACCTGTTTCAGTCTTGTTTCCACTCAAAGCAGTCGAGATGTCGACTTTTTACTGATCCTTACGACAGGAAGAGTGATAGAAAAAAAAGAAAGAAAGAAAGAAACAGAACAAAAATAAAGTGGTGAATTATATTTGCCCGACATTTCGGTTTGCAACACTAACCTTTAACAGGGCCGCCGGCTATAAAAGAAAAATGAATACAGATACAGATATCGGGCAAATATAATTCACCACTTTATTTTTGTTCTCTTTCTTTCTTTCTTTTTTTTTTCTATCACTCTTCCTGCCGTAGGAATCAGTTTAATTATACGCATATTAAATTTTAAACTTTAATATGCGTATAATTTTTTGACCCGACTCATTGCTTTGTCCTCGATTGTGCAGGTTTCAGAACTGGTTGAAAAACTGCTGGTATTATAGTTAAGCTGTTTAAGATTATCTGCTTAAGAAATACTGTATTTGTTTCGATTTCGTATCAGCAACAGTTGAGGGTTGTTATTATTAATAATAGTTACTCCATCCGTAACATACTTGGTTGGAAGGTCTTATGTATTACTGTAAACGACGGCATGACTGAATCTTGGGTGAACGGAAAAACAGTCAGGGATGCGTGACATTTATACTTAGGTAGCTGATGTGGTGATATTCCATAAAAATATCAAAAAATGTCAAACCTGGGCGATATAACCCCAGGAGTCGTTTGATCGAACATTCGCAACAACACTCCTGGGTCTCCCGTGGCCCAACATTTCAACTCCAGGCGGGCCACAGTATTTCTGAATGTCAGAGTGCGTGGTGTGGCTCTATCCAGTGGAACTAACATCCAAAAAAAGCAGCGTGAGATGAAGTTGATTTTCCAACTAGGCACCGTTCAGCCGAAAGGACTGAATTTCATCTTGCGCGCCCAAGCGTACGCACTTCGATCATTTTTATGTCTATGGCAATTGCGTATTACAATGGTTTCCTCTGACTGAGGAAGGGTTACACACCCGAAAGGTCTGTTTTTTTTTTCTTAATAAGAAAACTTGACACTTTTTGATTTTTTTTTATGGAATATAACCATATCGGCATGACTGAATCTTTTAAGCTTAGATACACGTAGACACTGTTTACTGATAAGCTTGTTTTTTTTTTTTTGTTTGCTTCCTCAGAAAGAGAAACTTACCAAACTACAATTTCCATGAACAAAGACTGATTTGTATGCTAACCCTACCCCCACCCGCGAAATCCGCGTCTCATCCGGAAAGCTTAAAATCCGACGTGGCATTTTGAAAGAGGGCGGGATGCTAGCGGGATGAAGAGATAAAAAATAAATAAATAAATAAATAAATATTTGATAGTGACGGAGAAGCGGGCCGATTCGGAAAACCCTATTTTAGTCCCTCAAAGCATAAAACGGAACGTAGATTTCATTTCATTTCATTGCTTCCTTCAGTGATACATTGATTACGTTATTATCGACCCATGTTAATTGTGACGAGGGAGTCTATAGAAAAGCAAAAAAATACTTGAAATTATAGATCCCCTTAAAAAACTGAGGTCAACTGTAACTTAGCTAGATTATCATCATTCTACTGATAGTATAGCCTGCGTAGCATGGCGGTTTTGGTTGGGCGCGCTAAGTAATAAAGGCGGGCGAGGGCAGACAAACCGCGAGGAGATTGGGGCGGAAGCAACTTTTTCTCGCGGCTTCGCCGCTCGTTCTCGCGCGTCTCGCGCGCGAATTTCGCGCCTACGCCGCTCCTGCGCCCGGATCGACAAAACCGCCATGCTACGCAGGCTACTGATAGTAGAGTAACCTGCGATCAGGCGATTTTTTTTTTTTTTTTTTTTTGGCGGGGAAAATAATACAAAAAAAAATCGCCTGATCGCAGGTTTTATAATTTCTCATCTACTGTAATTATTATTATAATTCTCATAAAAACTAGTCAACGAAGGAATAAAATTAAACATTATTTTAAAATTAAATACGCTTTTTAACTTTTACCTGGTTTTTGACACGTTTTTATCTCATTCTTAAAAACGGTCCAGTCAAATGTTTCTAACAAGAACTGGAAAAAAGAGCGAACTATCCGATAAGGATCTAAAGACGTGTTGGCCTGAGACAAGTTTTATCAGTAGATCTCGGGCCGGCAATACTTCCATTGACGCGTGGACAATTAATTTTGGCTTGATTTTGAACGTTAGTTCTTTGATACTAACCACCATTCTTAAGCGTACCTGAAACGGCACAAATAATTTATTCGCCGATTTTTGTGACATCCGTAGACTGCTCTTAACGAACAATCATTTCTTCAATGTGGGTTGTTTAAAAGCGACGGCGATACCCAGGAAAATTTCAATGATAAAACCACTTAGGTTTAAAATATCTAACGAGATTTAATTGTGCAGAGGGTTTTAATTCATACATGTGGTAGAAGTTGGCGATGAATTGGATCAGAAGAGTGGATACTCTTTTTGGCGATCGGTGTGGCCAAAAATTGAGATAAAATCAAGGAGCACTCACTGTGGACTCGCAATAAACGAGGCCTCGTGGGTCGTCGGGACTAGACAAAGACGAGAACGCTTTCGAACCCCTCTTCCAACATCACATGTTGCGTAGGTAAAGCAATAGAAAGTCAGTCTTATTGCTTCAGGAATGAATAAAGGAAAGACTTTATTTCTTCTTTTTGGAGCTGGGGCTAAAAATGCATTTGGTAATAAACTAACTTAAAGTGGAAGAAATGGAGTAACTTTTAGAGCCAAGAAGTTTTGCACTTTGGCAAGTTTTTGATAGTTTTTCTAGACATTTTCTAAGTTTTGCTGGGTTTGCAGTTGTTGGTATGTTCTCCAATCTTTATTTAAGTATCAGAACAATAAGTAATTTGTACAATTTTAAACTACATCGTATTGTTTACAAATCAAAGCTAAATATATGTCCACGATAGAAAACTATTTGCAATTGTGAATAATTTAAAAGTGAGAAAAGAAAAATCAAGCATTACTAAGAAAAAAACTATCAAAAATCTAGGCCTAAAATTATGAGTGCAGATATGGACCAGCTACAGCGAAAGTGAAGTCTTGTGAGACTTGGTATGTTCTTCATTAAGAGAATACTGAATCAGCGGCGAGTGAGCGAGATGTTAGTCGGTTTCAAAAAAAACTCTCTACGCGTTCCCTCTGTATAACTTTAATAGGGTATGTAGTCCTATTCGGGTTGTTGGGCCGGGTGTAGTATTGTCTTCGCAAGTCAGTGTACGCTTCATGTTCCCAAATGTGTTATTGAATTTATAAATCAAATGAGCTCTTCATCAAAAATACAAGCATTGCAACCATTTTGGTGCTCAAGAGATAGCGATAATGATGGTGTACGTATGCGTACAAACTAAGCCATAACACATCACAGTAGGAGCGCGCGCGGGCGCGAGGCAGACAATGCGTGTGGGCGACAAAATATTTCGGAAATGCGACAAATATTCAATGAGGTGCGGCCATGTTGGTTTACGTCATCATCTTCGTGGCGGATTCACTTGACGTCCTCTTTCGAGTTCAGTGTTGGAATTTGACACAACAGTGGGACGTTGAAGATTTAGAATCTTCAGTTTACTTGGGGGCTGAATTACATTCCAGGAAAAAGGTGATTCATTTGTCAACTACATTTAACTGATTACTTTTATTTGAATGGCTCGCCTCGGGCTTGGGCGGGCGCATGAAGGCCCATAAACAATTGACCGCAACGACCTCAGTAACAACCTACAAGCTAATATTCACGATTTTCTGTTTTACATACAGACTATTCGGCAAATAATAAAGCCGCAGAGTAATTCTGTGTTTTACAGTCCGCCTGATATTAAAGGTTTGTTAATATCTGTCTTAGTGAACATGGCTTCATTGACTTCATTTTACGAGATGCTGGAATGCAGTACAAGTAACAAGAGCTCAAGTATCTTTTGATTTGCGTGGTTTTCGACGAAATACTCAGGCATGTCCGCCCCGGTAAGGAACTACAATTAGTGTTAATGTCTGGTTGACGAAGTTAGTTCCAAATATGTGTTACTACAAGCAAATTCTAGATTGTAGAGGTGCACGCAGCGCAGGTAGACGAAATCGGCGCTTAGCTTAGTTGAGCCTAAGATTATCAGCAAGGTAGTGAGTTAGGCGAAGTAATAGGGAATCATCATGGTAGCAGGAACAAATTTAACTAAGCAGGTGAGTGTTGGGTATGTCTTTTATCACGTTAACTTTACAATTTTTCTTTTAAGGTTTAACAAAATTCCATTCTCTTACAAGCATTTGTTTATATTTGTGTGCCTAGTTTACAAGTGTTCATGTTACTCTATTCTTGTCATTCATGAGAGTTTTATGGAATTTGAAAAATGGCTACTTGGTTTAATATAAACTTTTGCCAAATTGCAGAAACTAAACTTTTGATCCATCGCCGTTTCAATATTTATGCTTGTGTACAAAGAGAATGTTTACAGCCATTTTGAAAATTTTATATGTCTTGAGAAACACTTGAATGTGTCGTCAGGAGTTTTGAGAAGATTTGAATGCTTTCTTTATCAACAAGGGGCTCTTCAAATATGTTATTATTTCACTGTCTTACTATGAAATTGTGTTGTACTTGTCTATAATAAATACAATATTTTTATGGTTAACGTAGTAATCAACCTTTATTAACAATCTTTTGTTACATGCACTTACTTTTAAACATGTTTTGATACATTTTTGGTGATACCGTTTATTGTATATACCTCCTTCAGACTGTTTTCGCGTTTTAATGAGGTTATTGTTTTTGTTGTCACGGTTTTTACTACTTTTTGTAATAATTAGCCCTAACTGATGTTAGGAAACATTGGACCCTTGGAAAAAGTTTTATCAGATTTATGAAACTCCAAGTGACCAAGTCCATTGTTGAGTTAGACCAGAAACAAAAGAAGTGCTGAGATAAGCATAGTGTTTCGATAAAATTCGTTAGCCATTTTTCATCTCAGCAGTGCACAAAGAATATTATTACTTCATAGTTTCTGCATGTACCTAATGGAGACGCAAAGATATCTTCCATTCAAAAGTATTAATAAAAAAGAAGTCTACAACTCTCTCAGGGATATAAAAAACCATTGAGGAGCGCATTCAGCAGTTTTATAAACCTAGGGGCATTGTCTAGTGATACACTGTGGGCTGGATAGGAGTGGTCATCTATGATAAGCTCTTGCAGTTCAATACATCAAACAATCAAATGTTGATCGAATTCAATATTTTTGAAACAAAAACTACTGGAGACAAGGGATACGGGATAGAGGTCCGTTTTAAAGAGAACTTAGAAAATCTTCTGTTTTGAGTTAGTAAAAGTAAGGTTATACCAGTGATGGTAAAATTGGCAAAATAAATGATGCACTTCCAGGACAGTTAAACTATCCAAGGTGAGGTTTCTTGGAAAGGGTGACATGAAGACAGTGTCCTGTATTTTATAAGAGTAAAAAAAACGAAGGATACTGAAAGAAAAGTTATGCTGTAAATTTTTATAGTGAAACAAGTTCCAGCCAATAAGAGCAATGAACACATGAGAAATATCCAATCATTTGACATGAAATTAGTATGTGTAATTAAATGGTGACAAGTGAAATTAGGGAATATCAGCAATCTTACATGTGTTTTGTCCAAATTCTGATGATGGCGAGGGAAATTATTGAGATTCTGACAAAACACAATTGAAATTATTCCCTAATTTCACGAATATCCCAGTTAATTACCTACCAATATCATGGGTCACTAATTACACTCACAATTGTAGGATTTTGACGTTGCTATCAAATTGATTCTGGATCGAGAACTCCACGCAGTGAACACTTTCAAGCTTAAATTGTAGCTTAATTTCATAAATTTTCAGATTTTTTTGACAAAATACATGATAGAATCCTTCTGGATGCGCTATTTCGTGTGTTTAGGGTCTTTTAATGTCCTGATATCTTCATAATATTTTAAAACTTTGCTGCCATCTTGGCACTAAAATGTATAGAAGGTTGCCATAGCAATTTTGTAATTTCAGATGTGAAATTACAAATTAACACTGAAATTTTGGGCCAGTTGTCACCCATGATTTTAAGACTTTTATTCTTATTTATTTATTTATTTATTTATTTATTTAATCGCTTTCACCATGATTACAATACTAAAAAAGACTAGGGGAAAAAATACATTTGAACAAGACACAAAAATGAAGGGCTAACAAACAGTGTCCATTGGGCAAGCAGCTCTCACATTTCGCTTGCCCAGGGCCATTTCTTGCTCATCTTAGATAATGATTTTATTAGAGGATGACTTACCTTGGACCCATTTCTTGAAAGTCCCGGTAACTTTCCGGGCCCAAAATCATATTTTCAAATTGAAAAATAAAGAATAAGAGCACAGGTCCTGGATAACAAACTGCTTCATTTTGTTTCATTAACACTGCTAGTTTCATCATGTTAGATGCAAAACTATTGAAACCTCTATCTTGCATGTAAACAACAACTGCTTTACATGCCCATTAATTTTCGGGTCTTTCAAGAAACGGGCCCCTTGGCCCTGGTCCATTGAGCAAGTGAGCTTTAAAAGTTACCTGCCCAGCAAGAAAATCTACTTGTCCGAGACTACTGGACAGGACTTTTTTTGAGTCCTGATGAAGTGGACCTTAAGGGTGAATTCTAGAAGTAGCGCTGTCACCATCACCCTCTTGTCCTACCACTTAATCTACAAAGATGTAGTAATCTGGAACTATTGTAAAGATTTTCAAAAATTATATTTGTGACTAGCTAGTAAAAAGTGTCACAATAAAAAAAATGATGTAGGGGCTGAAGAACCCTTTGTGGGACCCTCCAGACAGACAGTTCTTTACTGGTGTAGAAGTGAGTTGATTAATTTGTTCTCTGTCAGTTGAGTTGTGTTTTTTTTTTCCTTAGGCTATTCTTGCCAAAGCGTTGTTTGACAATCTTGCTGATGCTCCTGATGAATTAAGCTTCAGAAAAGGAGACATTATCACTGTGCTTGAGCAAGATGTGGATGGTCTGATTGGCTGGTGGCTTTGCTCCTTGCATGGCAGGCAAGGTATTGCCCCAGGAAATCGCATGCAGCAGATTAAGAGAAGAGTAGATGAACACACCTCACCTGAACCAACAGTATCAAGTGAGGTTTTCACCTTTGAAGATATTGATTATGATGTTCCCAGGCCCCAGGAAGGACAAGATTATGCAGTACCAAGAGGTATTAGGAGTCCTGACTATGATGTCCCAAATGCTGATAGCCAAGAGAGCAATTTTGTTAATGGTACTTCACCAGCTTTTGACCTCAGTAGTAAGCAACGTGAAACTGAAAATATTGTTGACAACTATACTGCTTCTGCTGAAGTGTATGATGTACCTTCTGCACTTCTTGAAGATGATATCCAGGGAGATATTTATGACACTCCATCAAAGTCAGCTGATCAGGAACTACAAAATCCTACTGTTCTCCCTAAAGTATCCCCCAGTCCTTTTCAAGAAAATTTGAGGGAAGAAAATGACAAGAAACAACAATCAGTCATCTGTAATGAACCTGACCTGTACTCTGAAATCTATGATGTTCCTGTCATATCTGGTGATGGGGATAAAATTGATGGTATTGACAAAATAACAAAAGGAGTGAATGTGTCACTTGATGTTAATGAAAATCCTGGACTACAAGAGACCAAAAAGAGCCCTGCAAAAGCTGGCAATGTTGTAGCACGTTTGTCCGGTAATAGTAGTGATGGTAAACGTCAGTCATCTAGCAGCACAGATAGTGTGAAGTTGAGTTCAGAGGATGATGACTATGTCGACTATCAAGACATTTATGGAGATGGACGTGAACAAGAGGTCAATGTGTATGATGTTCCAGTTCTGGTAGGTCTCAATACCTGGGACTCCAACACATAAGCCACACCTTTTTGTGCTTAAATTTTGCTCAAACTTTAGGGTGTGGCTTATCTGTGAGGATGACTTATGCAAAAGTCTGATCGTTACAAAAACGAAACCCAAGTCAGTCCTCAAGGACAGAAATACCATGCTATCTTCAACAAGTTGCATGGTAAATGGCAAATTGTTTCTCTGCTATTCAGGAAATCCCTTTTTAGATGATTTTGTTGTCAATAGACTTTTTCCAATTTTCCCTACAAATTTTGTTTCCTAGGAGTTTAGAAAATCAGTAGGATATGATCCACTTTCTTTTAGGCTTGTAGAATTTTGATTGTTTTGATGAGAGGCCATTGTTCGAGCAGGGCTTCTGATAGGTCGTGGAGGAAAAGGTCAAATTTCGCGAGATTTTCAGGGACAAATTTGCGCAAAAAATGGTAGCCTGCGTGGCAGGCGCTAAAAAGGGGAGGGGGAGGGGGGAGGGAGCAAGGGAAAAGGGAAAGGAGCGCCTGCTCTAAGAGCCTATGTTTTTGCATAACGCCTACCAATTTTCTAGTAATCCGAGTACACTTACTGTCAATCAAGTGTCGCTACACTCGCCATTGCTGAAAAACATTACACTCATGGACTAAAGAAATTCGCTTAGTTATTCAGATCCAGAAGGCACTTTGGAGAAAATTGGAACCCTTATTCAGCCGTAATAAAGAAAGCTTTACGCTTCAAAAGAGGTCAAAGAAATTGCGCTTGCATCACAGGGCAAATCCAGAAAACAATAACTACAGTCAATCAATATGTATGTGATGACCTCTCAGTGTGAAACATGCGGCTAAAATAACATTTGCTCAGTATAAATGCAGAACCTTCCAGAGCATAATCTACCCAGCAGATAAAAACAACTTTATTGGAATAAGCAGCATTTTGGCATGAGGTAAAACCACCCTCTTTTATTGCTAAGTTTCATTGGCGAATGTCATTGTTCGATAAATTGGCTAAATCTTTCGCTGGGTAGCCCAACAATTCCATCTCCTGCAACTGGTCTTCGGTAATACTTTTCAGTGGCGAAATGACGAGAATCGCCGCATTACCATTTAGCTCGTAGTTCTTCGCGCATACAAACATTTGGTAAATTAAACTCTTGCCGTATCCGGTCCGCAAAACCGCCAGAACATCTCTGTCGGCTAAAAGAGCCCTTACTGTTGATTCTTGCTCTGGTTTTAAAACAGTTTCGCTACCACTAGATAAATTCACATCTCTCAAAGCACTCTCTACGACATCCACGTCTACCGCCGCCATCTTGACTGTTTGTTGATTTGTGAAACGCGCATTTCAATATGTTACTCATTACGGCTCAGCCAATCAGGAATTTGCAGACGCCAGCGTCCGCAGATATGAACAAAAGGGGGTTCTTAGAGCAGGCGTCCCCTCTCCCTCTTCCCAATCCCCCTCCCCTTTTTCCCTTTTCCCTACCCCCTACTCCTTTCGACGCCTGCTACGCAGGCTAAAAAAATGGCCGATTTTGTGGGATTTTCACGGAAATTTTCAGGGTAAATTTTGGTGAGAAAACATCAATAAAATATGGCCAATTTCGAGGATATTTTCTGGGCAAATTTTGCTAACAATCGATCCGTTTTGCGACAATTTGACCATCGTTTTTAACATTTTTGAAACAAGGATGATCATTTATTTTTTTCAACTACAATACCATCGAGAAATGAGCCAATGGAAAAGTTTTTTGTGCCATGGCTAGTGCCCCGTTTTTAGCAACATAATCTACGTCTGGTAGTTTGGAGATGTTGTTGGCTCGTTTCTGTGATGAAGTTTTAACATAAATTTGTAAGTTTACAGCAAGTAAACAGCCCCAATAGCTGAGATAAGTTTCAAGTATGTCGTACAGACATGTATTTGGTGTAATTTGTTGCGAATTTCGTGGTATTTTGGTGTAAAAAGGTGCAGGCATGTTCTCTGTAATCAATTGACAAAAGAATGTCATGGTTACTTCTGTTATCAAAGAAAACAGGTTGTAAAAATGAATTGGCTTAAATGTTTTTAGTTAATGCAGTGCTTTCTGTTTATTTTTTAGCCAATTTCACTGCAGGATGAGGGTCAAAGTTTCAATGGAGGCCCTACCCCAAAACGAACCCAAATAAGTATCTTACAGCGTATTAACATGTCTGCTGTCAAAGAATTAAAGTTGGATCCATTGGCAGCACTGCAGCGCCTTACAAAACTAGAACAAGCTGTAAATGTAACAGTTAGTAAGCTGTTAAGCTTTGTTACAACTTCTTGGAGGAATCCAAATATTCTGAAACCTCTCCTAGCAGACATCAGAGATATTGCAGGTAAAGCAAAAGTAGCCTTAAGATTATTGACGGAATTTGGCCTTAGTTCCCTTGTCAATGCAAGAAAACTTCCAAGCCAAGAACTAAGTGGGAGACTTAGCAGAGCAATAGAGCCTTTACTAGAAACATATTACTCAGTAAAATTGGCTTTGCAAAGGCTTGATGGGCAAGACTGGAGGTTGCCTTTAGATAAAACTGACAACACGCATGATGATCTGGATCTGATCATGGTTCACATTCGGCCTGTTCCTGAGAATACACAAGCCTTGGCAACAATCGTACGTTCTGCAGCCACGACACTGTATAATTTGCCAGCCAAGGGGAGCAGAGACAAGCAAGCCACTAAGAAATCAGAGGTTTTGATTAACCCTGAGGAGTCCAAGACACACACACCAAAGAAAGAGAATATAAGTGGCCCTGAGAAGAGCAGTGAGAACTCAGATGAAGAGAAACAATTTACACTGATTAAATCTGTGGTAAAAGATGTCGTTGATACAAATTTCAAGCCCAGATCAAATGGTGGAAAGTGGAGCCCCACAACTGTGCGCCGTGTTTGTGGAATGAACACACCTAAAAGGGATAGTGCTGGTGGGTCTGATGAAAATGTGGCACCAAACCTACCATTACGTTTGCAAACCAGTAAAGAAAAATTGAAAAGTACCAGCTCTGAAGATGAAGTAAAATCTTCACCACCACCTCCTCCTGAAAGAAGGGATAGCAGTGAAAAGTGTCAACACCTGAGGCAAAAAAGTATAGAGAAGTTTCCTTTTGACACTACAGGAGGACCTCCCCCAAAGCCAAAATTAGATAGAAAAAACACAACAAGAAAAAGCTACAAAATTCCTTTGTTTACTGATCATAATCGGGATAATGAAAACATTTTACGCAGAGAGCATAATGAATCTGAGTCAGAGCCAACAGGAACTAGACGAAAGTGCAATTCTGATCCAACACAGTTACTTGAACAGAATAAGGAGGTTGCAGAAGGGAGAAGAATGACACTGTCTTCAGACAAAAACAAGGTTGTTTCTTTGATGAAACAGACAACAGTTCATGTTTCTGATTCTGATTTACCGCAAAGCTTAAGACAATCAAAGAGTGCGCACTCATTTACATCACAGTTTGGAGAAAAGGTCAATTCTGGATTTCCCAAGTTTGAGGCACTACAGCATCGCCCTCTTTCAGACCTGATAAAAGGTGATGGTACCTCAAATGGAGTTATGGTGTCTTTGAATGATCGTGAACTTCTAGAGTTTTATAAATATGAGATTGATGCACAGCTTTTTGTGCTTAGTGAGGCTGTAAAAAGTTTTTTTGCCGTGGTGGAAAAAGCAGAAAGTCCAAAGGTGTTTGTTTCCAACAGCAAGTTTATTGTGTTGAGTGCCCATAAATTTGTGTACATTGGTGACACTCTTGGCAAGAGAATCAAGCATAGCGAGTTGAGAGGTCATGTGATGAGTGTTACTAACAAACTATCTAACTGTATCAAGATTTTAGTAAGTGCAACAAAGTCTGCGGCATTGCAGTATCCTGCATCAAATGCCATCAAAGAGATGAGTGATGCTGTTGTTGTAGTGAATGATGTTGCTGTTGAGCTGTACCAGATAGTGAAGAAAACTACAAAGGCCTAATAATATTATGATGTAATAGATCCAGAGGTCAGCATTAGATCCCATCAGCCTAAACCCCTTGGTTCTCTTACGAAGTTTACACAACATAGTATTCTTTTTTGCTTCCACTCTACACTTAGTTGAAATTTCTACGTCTCTTGAAAATTCTGCCCAGCAAAAGTTCATGAAAGTTTGTAAGTCTCTTAAATTTTTAAGGGAAAAAAAATTCAGAAGAGGGTGAGTAGAAATCAAACTTGGAGTGTAGAGTCTGTGGTCCATCACCTACACCACAAGGCTACTGAGGATTTGCTGGCTAGAGATGGTTTGATTCAAACCTATATAGCCATAACCCTTACCCTAAATAGAAGCTAACACCATTTTCAGGGCTTAACCCTAATCACCACGGTCAGTGCTTAATCCTAATTGCTATTTCCAGTGCTTAACCCTTATCAGTGTTGCTTAACCCTGATTACTGTAGTCATTGCTGGAAACCAAAGTGATAAGGAATACTATGCTGTGTAAACTTCATGAGATGTCTGAGTAGGTTTAGGCTGATGGGATCTAATTCTAACCAGATCCAGAAGACAACAGTCATATCAGTTGTTAACAAAATAGTAGCTTTTGCAGTCCAAGCAGTTATGCTTCACTCAGGTGAACAACTTTATGTGTTTAAACATCATTTTGTTCACAATTTAAAGGGAAGCAGTATGATCCCATTCATTAGTGATTTTACACATTAATTATTTCTAAAAAACAGATAGGCATTTTCAAGTCTGTGAATAATGCTGCCTCCCCTGAATGCTCTCCGCTGCTTGGGACATTTCACGTTATGTCCCTAGCAGCAAAAAGTGATGAGAGGTGGCTGCATGATTGCAGGCTAGTTATTAGGAATTGCCACATTTAGGAGTAAGTGGGGCAGACCAAAGAAGTAGAATAAATTAATCATAAATTAAGGGATAATATGACACATTTCAAATATTTATTGAAATGCCGTCTTGAATGTTCAGGCACAATTTATTATTAACACTTCTTCTGGTTACTAAAAACTGTGCAAGCTAGACTGGTGTGTCTGGGCTAGACCTAATGAAGAAGTTAAATTCACACAGTAATGACTAATATTTTACAAAATCAAACCTAATTGCTTAAAAGTACTGGGCCCAGTTTGAAAGCTGGTTAGTACTAACACGTGGTTAAATTTTAACCTGTTTTTTTTTTTCTCTTGTTCAAAGCACTTTCTCAGGTAATTTTCTCTAATTTTTTTTTGGAGCGTTTATCATCAAATAATTATGGACAAAAAGAATTTAACTGAATTTGTTTTTTAAGCTTTCATATCTGAATTCAAATTTTGCACTAATCCTGGGTTATCTTAACCTGGTTTTGAACACTGGCCCTGGTGGTTATGGCTAGATATGTAAACACGGTAGTTAACTTGAACTCTGAAGGGAACTGCGAAAAACAGTTGGAGTTTGTGTAGGCCGCGAGCAGTCGTCCGTCTTTCCTCAGAGCCACGTAAGTCAAATGAAAAGTTAAAATTATGCAAATTACTGTCCACATTGCTCGTGGCTTAGCCGTTCTCCCCTCGCACGTGCCCTCGTTTCTCCTGCTCGCATTCTACCGTGTCTCAAAAGAAAAATAAGAGACTGCTCACAGTCTAGAGTTAGTGGAAAATTTGAGTTATCGTGGTAAATTTCAGTGAAATTTTGATCAAGGAAAAGGAAATTAGTATTCAACTTATCAAGGTTCTACTGTATAACTGATTCAAAAAAGGCTGTCAGTGCTGTAGCCTGCAAAAACAGACTTTTCTCCTACAGCTAATACAATCATGATTTATTCTGCAGGAATGTCTGCGTCTCAGTGACGGAAGTTTCATAAGTGTTGATTGGACGTCAGAGTAGTTATATTATTCTAGCCTTTGTTTACGAATGACAGACATAAAACAAAAGGCTGCAAAGGTTAAATGTAAATGCAATGGTATCTGTAACAAAACAGTCGAAACTTGTGGTATATATACTTTGCTAGAAGAAGTATTTGAGTTTTGCTGGAGTTTGTTCGCAAATGACCACAACACTTTACCAAAATTGACAAGGAGAATTGTAAAATTGATCATATTTGCATTCGAAACGCCATGACTACCGATTTAATATGCAAACATTGATTTACTTCATCAGTATGGAATTTCTGTTGCCTGGTCGCCGACATTCCTCCTCTTGAGATGTCCCAAGCGGCGAGGAGCGAGGATGAAATGACTGTTTTCGCAGGCTATCAGTGCTGAAGTGTAGGTTGGCATATCTTCAGTGATTTGAAAATAAAAATTTTCACACCCTAAATTCATAAGATGATTAGCATCATTCGTGATTTTCTTTTTCTACTGCATTTCAATGCTCAGTCAAGTATCATAACTGTTAAGGTCTCGGTAAATGAAAATTTTAGTACGTTGCTCGATTTTGTTTTTTTTATTTTTGGCATGAGTGGGTCCTAAATTTTATTTTGGCAGAAAAAGAAAACCAGAAAGTGCTTTTTAACCCTTCTAAAATGAGCCTTTTCTGAGCTAACCAGCCAAGCGTGGACCTCGCGCTAAATCTTTAGAGCTGATTTTCTCTCACTCTATTTTAGGCGCAAAAATCAAACTTCTCCGACCTCCAGTCGGGACAGGTTTTAAGCTATCACTTTGAAACTTCCAGATATGATGGATAATGATGTAGACTCAAAAAGGGTGTGAGGAATTTTCCGATTTTCCTTTGTAACTCATTTTATGTCAATTTCTTTGCGTAAATCGCGCTCGAGATTCGACTTTTTAGTTTGAAATGCAATAATTCCGCTAATACGAAACATATGCAAATTTCCTCACACCCTTTTTTAGGTCTTTTATCTGTCAATCAGATGCAATAAAAAGGAAGTGAATATTTAACAACGCGAAAGGGCTGGAGCTTTAGCAGTAAACTTGATACCTCTGAGTTCGAGAGCAAAAAACTTAAGTGCCTTTTGAAATTCGATGAAATAAGATCTTTTATAAGGTAATTTAGCCTTTTAGCTTGAATTTGATATATAACTTGCCTTTGTAGCAAAAATACTCGCGCGACTAGAATTTTTTTCTGTGGACACCTCGTTTTCCTTTACCGAGACCTTATTAACTGACTACCGCCCATAATGCCTTTCAGCATTGTTGGGTATGCTTGTATGCTTTTCTTGCAACCTTTTTTGAATCATTTGTATTAATATGTGTATTAAAAGAACTGCAGTCAATTCAGTAACACGTGTAATAATATTGGAAAAATGAAAAGACAATATGAAGCGGCCAAGCTCTCAAGTGCTGAAAATTATGTAGCTTCCTTATCAGCTTACCTTACCTTATTAATTGACCTTGTTTTAATGACCACTAGAACCAAAGCTGCATTTAAAACATAGACTTTACAAATGAAAATATGAATCATGAGAAAGATTAATAACCAGATATATGGTTTTATGAATAAGTTGTTGGTTACTTTCTTACTTCAAGAAAGAAAGTGGTCATGAAAAAAAAAATCCCCTTTCCCACTAATACAGCCACTCGGTTAATAAACCAATTTCTTCTGTCCTGTTATTGACCTTACTGATGGGATTCCATGGTATTCTTTCTGACCAGAGTTGAGGTTAATGTGGATGAAATTCACCAGGCATGACCTCACACAGCTCAGGTACCCCCAGCATAATATTGATACAATCAGCCTCAATTACTTAAAATTATATGAATGTTATGTGAGTCCATGTATTGCTTTTTTATTTCTTAATTTTCTTCCATATTATGGTTGCGGGGGCGGGGGCGAGTGGGACTCCCGAGATGACCTGCGGTTTTCTAATACAACTGGTATTCTGCAAAAAAAACTATGTAGTTTATTGGTGTTGAAGTAGAGCAAGAGGCGAGTGCACCCCTTCCTAAAAAAAATGCTGGATCCGCCCCCGAAATTCTGGATTTTGGTCTCGCTTAGGGTGTTCCGGGCAAAGCGCAAAATATTTTAAGCCGCCAGGGTCTCGTTTAGGGTTCCGCGAAGAAACACAGAATTACGTGAAGAGAAACAGAAGTCAATTTTCTTTTTAACTTTGTTTGTCATGTCTTTATATCATTAGAACTCATTGCATGTCGTATTTGTGTGTTTTTAAGGAGTCTCTTTTAGGGGTCAAAATTTGCTTAAGCCACGCCCAGATTGGTCTCCTTTAGGGGTCACAAAAAGCTTGAGCCACGCCCCGATGGTCTCCTTTAGGGGTTAAATTCAAAATTTTCATATGTTTCATATGGGAGTCCCCCCCCCCCCGGGATTATGGTAGAACCTCAATAGCTCGAACTCAGACAACTTGAATTCCCCGCAAACTCGGACTAAATTTCCTTTTCTTTCATCAAAATTTCACTGAGATTTTCAACAGTTTCATGGACATTTAACTAATATGAGGTGTAAGCAGATATTAGAGAAACTAATTAAAAATAAAAGTGACATGGTCTTCACACCTAAACATGCATATGTTCAATATTGATTTTGTACTTTTTATGCGAAGAAGCTGCTAAAAAAGTCGTTTTGATCTTGGTTTAAGTTTGATTTGGAGTTAACAAATATTTTATTTGCAAGGGAGAGAGCATGATTGCTTCGCAAACCTTTACCTATAACGAGATATCTTTTTTTCATTTTCATACAAATTATAAAAGAACAAACCTCATCCTTAAAGGTAGAACGCTGCAGTTTCTGTAAAAGTATTATTGTTTAAATATGGACAGTATGTATGTTAATTTTGCTGTTATGTGAATACTTACAACAGGCCTATTCAAACTAAAAATGTGAATAAAGCTGATGAAAAATTAGCTGGTATAGTACATTCCTTAACAAACTTAATCTTTTGCAAATTGGATAGATACTTTAAATAATAAAAATTCAGCCATACATATAGCTGAATTGTGTATTTCTAAATATTTAAAATAAAAATGTATATTACTAATTATCACAATTGCAGCTGTTCAATTTTGTGGGTTTGAAAGAACCCCTGAGGGACCAGTCATATTTTATGGAGATTTTGAGGTAGAGGTAATGCATGGCAATACAAAATTTCTTTAAGGACCCCCCACCCAAGATTGGATGGGAACTTTTACAAAACTGTACTGAACAAACCTCTATATAACAAAGCCCTCAGTATAAACGAATGTTTTTCTTTACCCCAGTAATAGTAAAATATATGGAAAAAGATCTCAACATAACAAACCCTTCTTAAAGCAAACAAATTTTGCCAGTCAGCCATGGCCCTTTCTTATATAGAGGTTCCACTGTTAAGACTTCTGTTAAGAGTAGGTCTCAGGTTGGCTTCATGAGGTAAGTTGTAGAAAATTATATATGCAAGGTTGATCATAGACTGCAAAACAGTCCACATTTTTGCATATTCAAGTATGCACGAGCAGTCAACAAAAGGTCAGGAGCAAGGCTGAAAGTGGAGAGCAAACTGGGTTTTTTTCTCTCGCCTCTTACACCCTCACATGGGTATGTGAGGCTTGCGTGTTTCGCATGTGAGACTCGTAAGCAACCTTAAACTGATTTTGAGAAAAAAGCCAGACTGTCTTGAAGTCGGGGTTGATCATATCATGCACATTCATCTGTTTCATCCACAGTTCATGTATATGATTTATTTCAAATTTGAATTCACAATCCAGTATCCAAAAATAAATAAGTTTACACAATCATGTCTTCATAAATCAATATGATACATCATTTGTCAATCACAGTGCTGTCAACTGTCTTGGATAATCCGGGAGACTCCAGGTTTTGGATCTTAACGCCGGGTCTCCAGATTAGAGTATGAAATCTCTCTCTCTCTCTCTTCAGTACACTTGACTATTTTGCATTGTTTGAGCTATTTTCATGTTAACATAAACTCCTTAACTCTCATAAAGTCGTCATAAACTCTGGTATGCCATCGTAATAATAATTATTATAATGATGTGATTGGTGGGAAGTAAACCAATCTGGTCATATTTTACAATGGTAACATCCTTTTCGTGCAATCAGAGTCAACAAGTATTTATTGTACAAATGATGTCATTTACTGTGCGTAATGATGTCATCTATCATCCCTTCCTTATCAATTCTCAATATTTGAAGATGTTGGGGGTTGACAGCCCTGCAATCAGGTGCCGGTTGTTCAAACATTGGCTAATGCTATCCACTCGATAAATCACTATCCAGCAGATAGCATAATAGACCTTTTTACCGATACGACAGCCATATTGAATTAATTAGATTTAAGGAGTATTATGGGATGCCTGGTGGGCATGAGCACGATCCAATATACTCGCTAAAGTATTTACGCAACTTTTCAGGCCAATTTTTCTTTAAGTTTTCCTAGAAAAAGATTGTATAATGGCAAAAACAGATCATTGTACCGTGTTTGGATGTAATAATGATCGCCTTTTCCCTGAGAAATATACAGTGAAATTCTCTCTTTGCCCAGAAAGCAGACGTAAATACTGAGCGAGTGCCCCCTGGTCATCCCATAATACTCCTTAAATCTAATAAATTCAATATGGCCACCATATTGGTAAAAAGGTCTATTGGTTTTCCTAATACTTTTCCAATGGATAGTGATTTATCCAGTGGATGGTGCTATCCAACGTTTAAACAACCAGGGCCTGGTTTCTTTTACCTGTCTCTGAAGAACAACACTTACCACTATGTCAATTACTACTTTACTAGTTGATACTGATCATACAATTTTCAGCGTAATTAGCAAATAAATCAGGACCAGTATGAGAACTTTTAACTTGTTACACTGATGTGGAACAAAATTCACTGTAAATTCTCTCTGTAGTGTAAAAAAAATACAGTGCAAGTTTATTTATTTCTATGAGAAATATCACTGATTATTTGGTCATGACTGAATACAAATAATAATGCATAATTTATTACAACGGTTGAGTGATCAAACCAAAAATTTGTAGGCCTGAGCCTACAGGTCTATGATGGGCTGGCTACGCCCCTGAGATCACTGCTCTTCCTCATCACATGAGTTTAGAGGCCACCCGTGCTTTGCTTAACTACAATGTATTTGAACGAAAAAAAAAATCAAACCACAATTACATTTCAAAAACAAAGATACTAAAACAGAACCAAAATTTAGACTAAGTTTTGGCACTTCAAAGTTTCAACAACCTTGTATATATCTCTGAACAGGAGACTTTGCTTTTCTGTGCTAATAGTGCAAATTCTTGCTTGTACTTTATATTTTTAAAATATTGAACATATATATGTTCACTTCTTTAACATTCCTTTGAATGTCTAATATCCCTAAGTTTATTAATGACACTAACTACAATATTTAAATACAATAAATACATCGTTAAAAGTGGAATAAAATGTTACAACTTGGGTCCTTTTTGTTCGGAGTAGGTTTGGTTAAGCAATTTCTTTCTTCCTATTACATGTCTTTTTGAAGAGGTCAAGTTCATACACAGTCATCCATGTTACTTGTCTTGACACCAGAAAATGTTACTATGTACGGCTGGAAAGAATAAGTACTGCAGAAAAGAGATTGTAAATACAGATCTTCTTTGATACCAATGATGTTAATCATCAGTTTTTAATTTCCTGGATCTCAGATCTCTGATACGTGATGATCTTCTTAATGGAGTGGCTGGAACAGTGTTGTTACTTGACTTGTCATTGCCACCACCATACACTAACTCCCGAATGAAAGAGAAGCGGATAAGGAACATTTTCCAAACAATAAACCAGCCTGAAAAGATATTAGAACAAGAAACAATGCTAACAAATTTTCTAACCAAACAACATTAGATTAACCTAAGATGTTTGTCTGACTTTTGCCCTTTTTTAACTGTTTGTGCAGGTGTTAATACCAGTTTGCTGGTCGGAGTTTCAGGACTATAAGTAGTAAAACTGTGTGCAATGGTGTTAATGCTGTGTGACTGAATACTTACAGAATTCCAAATTAAGGGGAATAAAAGCAGGTATATTCTCCAACCCAATAGCCATTTTATAGCCACATTTGTCTTGTTTTCATTAACCTCTGACCACATTCTTTTCAGGTATGCAATGGGGTAAAAGCATACATAATTAGCTATGCTTCCTGCTACACTTCTATCTTTGATGAATGTTCTCACTCAGTTTTAATTACCATTAATGCAATAAAATAATGCTTATAAACAGTATGGTAACATGACACTCATATTACTGCACTGAAATGGGACCAACAGCATGATCTCACTATCAGACATAACTGCTAATTTATGACATCCATCCTCCAGTAAAACTGTTTATTTTAAGGCCAGACATTGGGGCCGTTGAAATGTCACAGACGAACTATGCAACATTTCTAGATAATATAACAGTCATCACTAGCAAAATGGAAAGCTATACGGCTGCCTCTGTCTGTCCCTACATCTCAAACAAAAGAGATCTATCAACTTACAATAAAACTGACAGGTATCGATCTGTTAGCCATGTATAGTGCTACACCACAACAATCAAAGGCTCCATTTTCCAGCATAATCCCAACCGAACAATGAGAATTGAGGCAAGCATATTTTTTTCTCCTCTCCCCCTCTTTTAACCTAATGCCTAGTACAGTCACTGAGGGTTGATATTTCAACCATCCCCAATGTTCCATAAAGATGGCGGCTGCGGTATTACAAGCATAAACAAGCAGCTTTTGTTTGCCTACTGGGACATTAATTTTAGCAGTTAGAGTTGAACTTTTGCCACAATGGCCACCTTGGGGATAGAAGAAAGTGGCTGTTGGTGAGAGGTGGCCATTATGGGGGGGGTAGGGGCATCATATGACACCTGCTTTTTGCTGCAGGGATTACAACAGGTCTTTGCACCAACTTCATACTTACTGTAGCCCATAAATTATGGAAATCCAACTATATTTAGAAATATAATTAAATGGATAAAATACACAAAACTTATATAATGTTTTGAACCAACATGTTAACAAGACATTTAACATATAAGGTTCACAGCGTTCACTGTAAGTATTGCAGTGTGTACCACACGAATCAAATTTTGTGATCACTTTTGGCTTTTTATCAGTCACTGAAAAAACTACCCTGCAGTGCAGGCGTTTTCTTCGGGCAGGCGAAAGCGCCTGTTGAAACTCGAAAAAAGGAGAGAAAATGGGGTGAGTCAAAAGGAGTGGGGTAGGGGGCAGGGAGAGAGAAGAGAAAATGCCTGCCCGAAAACACTGTAAAAATGAGAAACACCCCCTAATTAGTCGCGCGCGACCACTGTTCCGGAAATGAGTAGCCGACCAATCAACACCGAAGAACTATTGCACCGGAAGCTCCCTTCACTTCTGATAAAATAAAAATAAACACATCTGTAGTGTACATTATGTAAGCTGCTAGTTGTTTACGGGAAGAGAGTATTGTCATCTGATTCTAGTGTCAGTGATTATTGAAGGTTATGTACGATTTCGTTTAAAGTTAAATTTGGAAGAAATCTTGGAAAGCAAGGCCATCCTTCTTCAGAAAATCTGTTCAGGCCGTCAAAACGAAAGGATTGCTTTGGGGTTGTTTTAGCTGAAATTTGTAAAGAAGTTGGATTGCCATTATTTTGTTCATTTCATGCAATATTCTGATCGGTTCTGTAACCCATGTGGCCGCAACATTCATAACTTGGGCAAGTTTTACCAGTTCATTAAAGCTGCAATTACATCCACGGCAAGTAGCCCAGTTAAGAGCACCAAACATACTCTTGACATGTCGGACAAAGCAAGCCCAGCATGGAGAAAATCAAAATCCGTCCATGTTAATGCGCGGGCAGCTAAGTCACCCTCGATCGAAGGTTCCACGTTGGCTACTAAATCAAGAAAGTCTCTCTCCTCTTCTCTTTTGGAGAAAATTAAAAAACCTAAAAGCCTTATTTAGCCTTATCTTGACCTCAAAAGAGGTCCAAGAAAATGGTTTTGCCAAAAAAAAAACCGCTGGGCCTAGCGTGATACAACTTCAGGAAAACATCACATTCACAGACTAGAAGAAAATCGCTTAGTTATTCTGATCTGGAGACACTTTGGACAAAAATAAAGGACCTAAAAGCCTTGTTGAGCCACAAGAAAGATCGTTACGCTTCGAAAGAGGTCAAAGAAAATGCTCTTGCATCAGAGGGCAACTTATGCCGACCAGAAATTCAAAAACCACAGGAAATCAATAAGCGTGTCATGACCTCTCAGCATTAAACAAACGGGTAAAATCACACTTGCTTAATCAAAACATAGAACCCTCCAGAGCATAATCTACCTGCCAGAGAAAAAAAACGTATTGGAACAAGCAGCATTTTGGCATGAGGTAATTAAAGTGGTGTAGCATTTTAGCACTGCAAGCAAATCTTGTCCTGATGCCAGTGTAGAAATTGTTTTGACTTTCTCATTGCCTAACACACACGACATTCCCAGCCACTCCAATTCCAAAAGACTTGTTTCGACAGCAGTGTTAAAAATCACTCTAGCGTCCGCCATTTCTGAATTCAGAATAATTCTTTCCCGCAGTTGCATGTAAACAAAAATGGAATAAACAATATAGACTTACATTTGATTGACAGGCATCAATCTACTTCCCCAAAGCCGCACCAATCAGGGGCTCCATTTGCCAGCATACGGAGTTTCCCAAAAGAACAGTGATATCGGGCAGCCATAGTTTTTCTCCCCTCCCCTCTTTCCTTTTTTCGCCCTGACACCTACCCTTAGGGTTACTATTTGTACTCTCCCTAATCTTCCTTCGTCATAACAAAGATGGCGGTTACAACAGTACAAACATAAACAAGCAGATTTCGCCCGCCCAAAATACACCTGCACTGCAGGTTATGAAAAAACTGGCAATTATCGAAAAGTTATTTAGGCAGTTGGGGATGTGCTTTAGTGGCCATTGCCATTGTAGAAAGGTTTAAACGAGAGTCAATTTGTGCACTGTCCCCTGGGACTGTTATAGTGGAGAGGTGGTTGTTAGTAGAGATTCAACTGGATCTCTGATGATTAGGTTTTATACAGCTTGGCAGAAGTTTTATTCTGAGCTTACAATCCCCATGGAGTTTCCAAAATATTTTTCCAAATATCCCATAATCCTTATCACTGGCTTTTATTGGCCTATTCTAGAGCTATTTGCTATGTGCACCATGAGCAAACTGAACTACTGGATAATATACAACTTCTCAGTGTCATTCTATTGCAAAAAGATGTTAAGCTCTGTGCAGTGCTCATTTTGACTTGCACAATGAGCATGTACAAAAAAATTTGAGTGCACTCGTATACCTGCCAACTTTTTTACATTTATAGGCATATACATTTTTTATCTTAAGAGTGCCAAGATTTTTCATAGGGTCCGATAACATCCGAAGATGTCCGAAGACGTTTCGAAGACTTCCAAAGACTGTACGAATCCCTAATCTTGAAAAACCTACTGAACACTGACTTCCCTACTAAAAAAAGAGAAGATCATCCACATAGACTTTTCTTTTCTCTCTTTGGTTCTGGTTTCTTTAAATACCGGTAACTAAAATATTTTTCAAAATGTGTCAGTTAATGCTGTAATGGCTCAAACTTTTCCACCAGGTGTGATAAATCGTAACACAGGCGCAAGTAGGAGTGAGATCCAAGTTTTCGATCCGAAGGCGTGACAATTTCTCCTCAGGCGTAACCCTTGGCAGGTATGCACTTGTCATACTCCGCAGACTAAACAACAACATTTCCCGAATCTCCTATCATAAAACCCCATATCCTTATTCAATTAAAATCCCAGATCTCGCTCGGCTATTATTTTCGCACAAAGTCTCTGGTGAGGCCAATTCCCTAATCCCTAATCTTGAAAAACCTACTGGTTACCCTGTGGTGCGACACGAAAAAAATTCTTCCAAAGGAGAAAGACATGCACGCAAGGCAAAAATTTATCAAATTTAGCACAAAAACGAGTCATTATTCTTGAGCATGCTCTTCTGGATAATTACGCTTGGCATTTCGGCAAGGAGGCCGGGGGGTGCAGCAAAGATCGAAATTCAATTTTCTCGATCGAAACAACCCTATAAAGTGATGTACTACGGTTGATGGTTAACCAGTGGCAACCTCGGTGATCATAACTCAAGATCAGTGAAGCAAGGTAGTAAATTATGTATACCGGGGATTGAGTTATTAATCCTTTGAGCTAAACAGGGCATAACGGAACTTAACCCCACACTCAACGAAAAGGCTCGAACTGTGATCCGCGCATCCCAACTGTCACTTGCATGATCATACGAAAAGGCGCCCATAGACGATCAAAAACCACTTACCAAACAAGATCACCAGGATCACAGCTACAATAGCTATTAAAATAACCACGGCTGTCACCAGACCTTCTTTATCGAACATCTCCAACGTGCCGGTGATCCCTTCCAGTTCACAACGCTATTTGCGTCCTTCGCGCGGAAAGGACGCTATCGAGACGCTTAATCCATATAAGGAATCTAAGTCACGTGAGTACCTTTTGTAAACGAAGGAACGAAGTGTCGGAAGGAGGAGGGAGGAAAAAATGAAGTTTCGTTTTTGTGGAGAGTTAGATTGCCCAGATTGGGTACTTGCAGAGATAAGTACACTTTCCAAAATAACCTCTGTAAAGATGCGGCTTCTATGTACTCAAATTATCAAGGATCTATTAGGAGAATCGATTGACTATGCCAAGGTAGAAAAGCTGACATCTGATGCCAAGTACGAACTGTCTGATGTGAAAGGATCGATCGCGGCATTGTCGTTCATAATTTCTAGTGCTACTAAGTACAGCGTGGACGGCGATTCTTTATCCAACGAGCTGCAGCAACTTGGCTTGCCAAAAGAACATTCTGTTGCTCTGTGTAAAACATATGGCGAGAATTTGATCAAGTTACAAGATTGCTTCTTGGGGAAAAGTTTGAAGTTGAGTGGAATGACAGAAGTGGAGTGGAGAGTCGATTATGTTTTAGGATCCAGTGAATTACATGAAGTCTCGGAGCCAGAGGTTCAACTCAGGTTCAGTGAGCTGGATAAAAACAGTGGGAGAAGTCAACCAGTGTCATTCTCAATGACGTCGAACAAATTTAGCGTATTCCTAAGCGAAATGAAGCAAGCACTTCGCTTAATGGAAGGATTTCAATCTTAAGCTGAATCTGAATTGCGACTATCTTTTTTTGAGTAACATGTGTTGTACTTCATTTCTGCAACTCCTGTTTGATTCTTGCACTCACATGAATCAGATGCAATGTAAAATATAAAGTGACTGTCATCACAGTGTTTTTACTCTGCTATCCTTGGTTTAAACCATGTAATTTCCAGTAAGATTCCTTGAAAAGATTGAGACCTTCCATGGGGGGTTTGGTGCTGCTTTGTCCATTTTTGATGATGAAGATCTGGTGACTTAGAAACAAACTATTTTCTCTTAATAGTGAGTTTATGCAACAGGATAGCAAGAAGAAGAGGATGGCAAAACACTAGTGTGTGACAAACATGAAAGGGCTATTACTTGCATGTTTTGTCATGATCTTCCCTTAAATAATGTTTTCTGGTGTTTTACAAAGAGATCTATTTAAAGGAAGGTGAAGTTTAGAGGAACGTTTTTTCAAACAAAACTATTGTCATGCTTTGTTTGCTGTCTTCTCCCCTCTCTCGTCTTGTTGTGTAAATTCACTAATATCAATTTGTGGAGGCCCTCTTAGTGTGTGTGAGTATGTGTGGGGCAGGGGGAGGGGGGTACTTATGTTCCTGGTCTGAATTTCAAAAGGGGTTCCACAAACTGAAGAGGTGATGTGGCTGTCGGTATTGTGATTTTCCTCATTGCTGTCTCTGTTTCAACCCATTTGTTGCCATTTCATCTGTCTTAATAAGCTGCTGTTTCAAGGCCATGTTGCTTGTTGCAGTTGTTGAACCCTAACAGGTCCTCCCTGTAACTTTCAAGCTGGGTCAAGTTTTCACATTTTTTTTTGAGCTCACAAGCAATCTATTGAATCATATTTGGAGACCATAATTTATACAGACAGTCATGCTGTGATTTAAAGACTTTCTTCTTGTGTTTACAAAAGTGAGAAACTAAGAAAACTGCAAACACCATAATAATTCTGGGATGTGATAGTCCTTCAAGGAAAAAAGCATTTAATAGCCACAACACTCCCCCCCCCTGCCTATGGATGAGGTAAGTTGACTTCTCCCTTGAGAAAAAACAAGATCAAAGGTATCAACACAGTCTTCCCCCCTTGCCCCTCAGAAATAGGAATATTTTTCCTATACCGCTCAGAAATATGCCAGTGATCAAGGTTGTGACATAGCCACCCCCTAAAAAAGTTTTGAAGCCCTCATCAGAAAATCTCGTCCATAGATGGGGTGTGGAATGGCGCAAAAGCCAACTAGGCATGAGAAAAACAAAACACAAACAGCAATAGTAATAATTTTGCGCTTTTGAGGTTTGTTTTCCTGAAATTTTTTACAGTTCGGCAGTAAGAAATTGACCTGTCACCAATAAAGCAAAGGGTTCACAGTTTCTTGACTTGTACACTAAATACTGTAAAACCAGCAGGGTTTTGTTTTCCATTGATTTAGTTCTGAAACAATATCATTTTAATGATAGTGCTTACACTAGAAATAAGGTTTCAAGAAATACGTTAAGTAGAAGTTCAAAAACCAAAACATTTATATGGTATGCAGTTGTTATGCAGATTTAGGGACTGTGTAAAATTATCTGGGTAGCCCTCAAATGAGTGAAATATGGCTTTAAGTTACCTTTTACCCCTTCCCCTGTACAAAAACTGAATTAACTTCTTAATCCCCCTTTAATCGTAGGTAACCAAGGTACAACCCCCTGTCCCTTCGCTTCAACGGCCCCATTCCCGGGCAAGCTTAGGACTCGTGCGTCATAAAACCCTAGCAGAAACAAGGCAGTGAACTTAAAGTTTACACAATCACTTGTCTCCTTTGTTCTTTTCAATGTAAGTAGATCTAGTGCCACAGGCATGTGCAGTACATGTTCGATCAATTTCTTGCATTACTTTACCGTCTACTTCCCCGTTCTGTTTTAGAAACTCCTACTGATAGTTATTACACAGTCCCTTTCAGTGGCATTGAAAATACTGAACTGTTCATGAAAGGAGCCATGTCAACAAGGCACATGCACAAGTCAACTGTAGATAAATAGCCTGCGTGGCAGGCGTTAAAAGGGGAAGGGAAATCTCGCGCCTAATTCCCTTTCCCCTCCCTTTCGAACGCCTGCCACACAGGCTAGTAGATAAAAAGAAGTGTCCCATTGGGGACCGTACGTTTATTACGTCCGAGGTGGGGGGAGGGGGGATCGGAGGGGGGTACAATTTTGTAAGAGGCTTGATTTTGGGGGGTCAATTTTGAAAATGCACAAAACATAAGGGGGGTCGAAATATTAACTATACTACGATTGAAGCAAATCCACGTTCAAAAGTAGACAAAAAAAATTGTTTCGACGGTTCTTTGTCAACAACAAAATGTTACCCATATAAGGCTTGGCCCAGAAACCTATAACCTATCAGCTATTTCTACAACCACGAATGTAGCGTGCATGTACACACATATGCCTATGCATACAGCTGAAATCTGGAAAAAATATATAGATTTTTTTAATTTCCTGAAAGCATTTTTATCATTAATATAATATAAATATTTCGCATTATATTGTTTGGTGTTTTTGTGTTAGGATTTCCTTTATCCTCTTACAGATTAAGTGGAGTGCAATGGATCTGAATTCAGGATTTGAAGCCACAGAACTTGGTTGAGGCTTTTGTCCAAGCCAAATACAATTCTATCCCGGAGTATAATGTAGCTCTCATAACTTTGTTGACTTATGTCCTGTGTCAACATGCACAGCTGAGCGTAGCTTCAGCTGTATGAAGAGACAGCAAACTCCTTCAATTCTGCACATACACAGGCACAAGGACGTAATTGATATATTTTGATGACATTATAACAGCGTTTGCCCGTCTTAAGGGTACACATCTCGCCCTTTGCTTGTAACGTCCTTGATGGTGTCCCTGTTTTACCCTTTTTAGCCGTAAACAGTCTGTACCTTACCAATAACACTAGAAATAGATGGGGAAAATAAACAACTAATTATTGCATTTTCCTTCGTCTTTATTTAGTGAAACTGTCCGGCTGCAGAAAACGCAGGAGATGGCATTTTCGAGACCCTAAATTTAATATATTTTCTGGGGGAGCATGCCTCCAGACTCCCCCATCTTTGGGGCGCCTTTGACACGCTATCTGCCCAAGGATGGAAGAAAAGACTTTTGTCTAGAAGGGGTTGGAGGGGGGGGGGGGGGGGCTTTTGGGGGGTACAATTTTTATATGTATTTATTTTGGGGGGGAGGTAAGGTTTTGATACAACTCACTTTCCTGAAAACCCCCGTCACTCCCCGGGACGTGATAAGCGTACAGTCCCTTGAGGCTAACAATAAGGGAGCTTACAGTGTAAGCAAATTACGACAACGACGACTTCAAAAAACCAATAGGTTTGATGATCACTCTTTTCAGTACATTTCTTTGACGTCGACTGCACGACTACGACGTGAAACCTCCTAATTTGACGTTTTATGGAAGACGTGGACATACGACGACGAATTATCCTTCCTCTTTTTGAACCCGCCTGAATAACATCCTTAAGAATTCAACTCCAGGAAAAGTCGCCTGCATTTGACATATTGAGCGGGTCCAAATGGTAACTGGTCAAGTCGCCCGAAAGTCATCTCTCAGACGCGATTACAAGTTTGAAAGAACGCAAATTCATTTTTTTTACCGACGTTTTCACTGCCATCGTCGTTGTCCTTACTTTTAAGTAAGCCTTAAAAGGTCCCTAATGTCTCCACTACGGCCCTCCACTACACCCTTCTTTATGATTTGATATATCTGTGAGAAATGTAGTAGCCTGACAATCAATGCATTTCTTGCCGAGAAGGGGTGCAGAGAGAATAGGGGTCTACATTTTGTACCAGTCCTAGGATCGGGGCAAGAGAATAGGGACCATACAAAACGACGGCGACGGCAACGGGAAAATCAAAAAAGCAATAGGTTTAATGAGCAAAACAACAACTCTGCACGTGCATCACGCTTTTTTGTACATTTCTTTTCAGTCCCTGCGTAACTACGAAGTGGAATGACCAAATTTTTAACAGCGAATTTTTAAAGCTTTTTTTTGAGGACGGGAACGGCAAGGTGACCCGGGGGGGTACTGCCATATGTGGGCTATATAGGTATGTGCCGCTGTGAAGGGTATGGTTTTCAAGCAGTTTACTCAGGAACAGGGTATATAAATCAGAGTGTTTGGGCCTAGAGAAGGGTATCATTTTCCATTTAAACTGATCAATTGGCTGAAGATTTTAGTCTAGACAAGGGAAACCGGGAATTGCCACTCAAGAATACAACAAAATCAAATCGGTTTTGTTTTGGCTGGACTGTGCTAGTGACCTCAGTTGTTTCTGGAAAACAGCTACTCTAGGATAACGGGGGGGAGGGATTTGGGGAGTTTAGTCTAGTACAGGGTAGCAAATGTTGTCAGGATTGGCTTCTTAAGATTAATCCAATTAAAGCCAAAGTTATTGTATTTCAGAAGAAAAGTAGAAAATCAGCAATAGATAAACACAATTTTATGGTTAGCAATGAAAACATTGAAATCGTCAATAATTATACCTATCTTGGAGTGAAATTTTCTGCCAATGGAAATTTTACAAATCACAAGGAAAACTTAACAGAAAAAACAAAGAGATCCTTTTTTGCCGCTCGTTGTTATCTAAATTTTCTAAACTTACCAATTCACATCATCAACAAACTGTTCAATACACTATTTTTCCCAATTTCAACGTATTGCTCTGAAGTTTGGGGAATCTATGATAAAAGTGATTATAGCCGCTGGGATAAAGACTCGATTGAGAAAACGCATATACTTTTTGTAAGATGTGTTTAGGTTTAAACAAACGTTCACCGAATGTTGCATCGAGAAATGAACTTGGTAGATTATCTCTAAATTTACAAATAACAATGAACATTTTCAAGTTTTGGATTCACCTTGAAAATCAACCCCCTGACAGCATCGCTAAACTCTGCTTAAACATATCGGATAAAATGCCGAAGAAAATAATCAGGTCTAATAAACAA